TTTTTCTTTGATTCACCAAAGAATAGCTTCTAGTCATGATGCTTGAGTTGACAGTTAAGATATTTGCTGCAAAATTTGCATCAGAAATTGATTGAGAAATTTTGATCTCAATTATCAAAAGTAAATGCCAAATATTCGGTAACGAAAAGATAATTCGTTATGAATTCCTCAAGTTTGGCATAAATCAATTTGCTTGGATTAATCAAGAAAAAATATACTGGATGGAGTCTAAGAATCCTTTATCGCTTAAAAAGAAAGTTGGGAAAGTCTAGTGGCTAGAACTTGTTTGCATATGTATGGATTTGGGAAGTTATCTGGCGAGAAAGATGAAATATTACCAGAATATTCACAAACCTAGCTAGAAAGTGATAGTTGGCAATGGCAATGGAAACAAAAATATGCCTTCATGGCTTGGACCATTGCAAAAATGTTCTTCTGCAAGTGTTTTGCCATTAACAGTCTGAGAAGAATCTGGAACGTGATCGGGGGAGTCCATTTAAAGACTGCCTTCATTCCGACAAATTGTTTAACCAAAAGGCAATTCCAAGATAGATACTTTCAACCATTTGCTTTTGCAGAACGTGCCTCCGGATTAAATTTTTATATAGATATAGTATAAAATATTAAAATTTATATATTTCAATCATATTTATATAAAAATATTACGTCGATATAAAAATATAAAATATAAAAATTTAATTTTATTAAATTTTAAAATTATGTTAATTTTATCTTTTTATTTTTATATTATATTTTTATTTCGTATTTTAAATTTATAAAATTAAATGAAACTCACAAACTCTGTACGAACCCAAACCATGGCCCCGAATTTCATGCTGAGAAGCAACATCATTTTTCACATGTTCCTATCAATTATTATTTGCTCACCTTAAGTTGGATACAGTCTGGAATTTTGAGTGTTGGAAAAGGCATCTTCTTCAGGCCTTGCAAAACAACATTAATGCAGACAATTTCATGGTGAACCAACCACCTAAGTTTCTTGTTTCTTGTCGTAAGGACAATAAAAAAGGCTATTCATCTAACTGGGATTTGAATGTAAAATAAATTTAATTGATTCATATAATTATTTTTAAAAAATAAAATTTTAATATTTATAATTAATATTTTTTTTACAAAAAAATAAAAAAATCCGAAATTTTGCTTGATTTTCTTGTAAATTATCATATTTATATATAGTATCTATAATTGTAAACAAAATAATACTAATTAGTACAATATATATTAGGTATAATGTACAAAAAAAAAAGAAATTTTTTTTAAGTGGAGGTTTGAATTTCGTTGTATTTTTAGTATGATGTAATTAAGTTTACTATACTATTAGTTTAATCAAATGTCAATTATAATATGATCCATTCAATACAAAATTTTTTATTACAATTATAGTAAATTTTTAATCAAAATTATAATAAATATTATTATTATTTTTAATCTCATCACTTATTTAAATAAATCTTAAATTAATTACGAAATTTAAGTATATTTTTGTTTTAAGAAATTTTTTTTAAAAAGTTATGCTTTTTATCAAATGCTTCGGAATATTCCTTTTAGATTCACACTACTACCAGTACCATATTATATGCTTAATATCCTAAATTCCTCAACAAAAAGTTTTTTTTTTTTGTTTTTTTAATTTTCTTCTTGTTGCTAAGTGCCTAATGGTTAGCACTTGCTGAAGTGTGTAACAACGCCTAAAGAGGCTCAATAGTCAAATCTGGCCACGTTTCAACCTTGAATTGCAAGTTTTTAGTTCCAACCTTTTTCTTCCAAAAAGTCATATATGTCCTGCTGGTCAGCCACGTTACGCAGATTCCACCATTTTATTCCATTGGAACAATTAATGAAAAAATTGAAAAGCAATAAAAGTTTGAAATGATAATAAAATTTATTGTAATTGTAATTAAAAATTATTATAATTATGATTAAAAAAATTTAATAAATAATTTATATTAAATAATTTTAATAAAATTAATATTTAAATTTAATCGTATCATTTTAAAAATATGATAAAATTCAAATTTACCTTAAAAATGACATATGAACTGATAACTCAATGGTTTATTGAATTAGTTCTAAAATTAAAAATTAAAAATTTTAATTTCAATAATTTAAAATATAAAAAATAAAAAAAATTAAGAATGTGAGATGTTTTATATAATATAATAATTAAATGGATTAAGTCAATAATTTATTTTTTTTTTTTTTTTCATTTTCATGAGCAAAACCATTTTCCCAGGAGGATTATACAATAAAAATCAATTAAAATGGCTGATTTTTTTGGCCAATAATTAAAAATGGCTGATTTCAGTAATCTATACTAGTGGTTAAAAAAAAAAGTAACCTATTATAGATGTGATACGGGGAAAGATTTAGTTTCGGGCGGGGCCCCACTAACTAGAACCCAAAATCGTCATTTTAAAGAAACAAAAACCAAATTTGCCTTGAATTAAATTTTACTCAAAAAGCAGCGGGGAACAACCGTACGAACGCCTAACGTAATTATTGCCGTTCACAATCAAACGATTGTCGGTTTGACCCGTTGATAGCGTTAAATAAATGAAAGAAATTTTTTTTCTTTAAACTGGATTTTCAATCGATTATTATATTAGTAGTAAAATTCCATTGGAAAATATATAAATCCATTTTCAATCTTTTCATAATTTTATTATTGCCCATTGATGTTATTTTATAAACAAAATTAACAAAAATTAATTTATATATTTATTTTTAAAAAGTTCGTTTGGGGTATTTTTAAATATAAAATATAAATATTTTTTTATTAAAAATTATCGACAAATGATAAAAAATATTTTTAATTTTTAAATTAATATGACATATATAATATTACGTCAGTTCGATTATATTATTATTTTATTATATAAATTTTTTTTATAAATAGGGTTATTCAAATGCTATCTATACATTTAATTTTTTTTTATTTTTTTTCATTTCTTATATTTCAAATTTTAATTTAAGTGTTAGAATGTAAATATAAAAAACATCTCTCTCTTTACTCTTAACGATTTTTTTAATATAATTTTAAGATATTGATCTTCAGCTCAAAACTTGACATAAAAAATTTTATTTAAAATTTAATTATTAAAATAAATAAAATTTTATTTTATCTTCAAAATATAATTTTTAATTAAAAATAATAATAAAAAGACTAACAACCACTAAACCCGAAGAAGTCATCAATAAATCACATGGCTTAGACCGTTGAATTACCACAAGGCAAACTTATAAAATGTCCAATTGACTATTGGGTTAGTGAAATTCAATTTTATTTACAATAAAATAAAAAGAAAATTAACATTATTTTATTAATAACTTTTTTATATATACATAAAATTATGAATACATTAGACTAATGCATTAAAAAATATTGTAGCATTTTAGATAATACATTTTTTTTTTTTGTATTTAGAATAATAAAAAAATTTCAACTATTAAAATTAAAAATTCAATAATTTTTTTTTTACATATATATAATTTGGCCGAGTTGATTGCGGTGGATTTTATAATAGTCTACAAGCTAAATGATTCAACAACGTTGGCAACAGTCATTATCAAATCAAAATTTTCAAATCTCAATCAATTAAAGATTGTTAGGTGTTTAATATTTTGTAAACTATTTGGTCTAATGTAAGGGCAGATTGTGTCTGAATTGCAGTTGTAGATAATCAAATCAAAACAATAATATTAAATAAATTTAAGTTTGAAAATTAAATTTAAATTTTTTTTTTGATAATACACAAAAAAATAGAAATTATAAACTTGAAGTAAAATTAATTACGGTGAAATTAAAAAAAAATTATTATAATTGTAATTAAAAAAATTATTATAATTATAATTAAAAAATATTTTAATAAAAAATTATTTTAATTTAATTTCACTGAAATTAATGTTTAAATTTAATTAAAAAAATAATAAATTTAATTATATCACACAAAAAAATACAGTAAAATCCAAATGGTTATTTAATAAATATGAGATTTAGCAAATAATGAAATTTGGCAATTATTATTATTATTTTTTTTTGCAAAAGTTTACAGCACCAAATCTTGACTAAAAAAAAGGGTTGGGTCAGTTGGGCAGTATTTTTTTAGCATGATCAACTTTTTCCCAAGAAACAAACAAGTTATTTTGGTCATCATTTCTATCTTTTTGACAAGAACTGCCCAAAAAGCAGAAATTATAAGTGGTGTGGCAGATAAAATTCAACACAAAAGCAAAGCAACAACGACAAGAAGATGAAATGACTCAGGGGGTGGGGGGAGCCCATCACTTTACATTTTGTCCCTTTTCTGTCAATTTTTTGTTTGATATAACTTTTTGAGTCTGCTTACTATTTAAAATATATTAATCATTTATAAAATAAAAAAAAATTGAAAAAATAAAAAAATTAGAGATCGAATTCATCATTTTTATCTTTTACCTCTTATTCAATGGTTAAAAAAAATTATATTAATATGATATAAAACTGAAATATAAAGGCTTTGAATCAAATCTAATGAATCCAACAAAATAAAATTTCGAGCTTTAATAACGTGGCAACACACTCATATTCTCGTTCTCAATGCTATCTGAAAATGAAATCCACCTCTACCTTGTTTTTCAAAACATTAAAATATGCTGACAAAAGCAAGGCAAAAATAGACATAATCTAATGTTTCTCTATGACATTGCATGGGGATCTTTGTCATGATCTCATTAACATATTAAAAATTTACATCTCTCTCCAACATGTAAATAATGTTCTTTTCTTTTTTCTCTTGCTTTAAACTTACCTGTATGACAATGTGAATGTTTATTTATTTATTTTTTATATAGACAACGAACTAGAATTTGGGAGAGCCTTCAAACAATCAAACAAAACCACATGGCCTCCTTTTGAAAGAGACCCCAGACCCAGATTCTCACAGGACAAGTGGTACAAAAGCTACTCAAAAGACCATAACTTTGCAAGGTTTAAAATCAAACACAAACAGTTTTATTATTTACATTTGTATGCAACAAAGAGAGAGAGAGAGAGGAAGGCAACGGGAAACAGAGAGATAGCACTGTATTTCCTCTTCCGTTTCTCTCCCTTTTTATTCATATACATACAAATTTCATAGCTTTTTCTTCTTTCTTTAGATTCTACATGTTAATGGGCTTATAGGCTGTTGCTTACTCAGCATCTAATCCAAAGACTATTCATTTTTATTTTGGAATGCTGGTGTAGAAGTGGTGCTCCCTCTGTGTATCAGAAAAAAGATTTGGTTTTGAAAAAACAAGAGGGCTGGCCAGTCATCCACCATCTTCTGGTTGATCAGAGGACAAAAACCCAGGTCAGTTTTATTAAAATTTCTGTTTATAATTTTGTTTCTGATATGGGCTTCATTCAAATTTTCTTTTGATTTTTACTCTCCTTTATTTGTCTTCTTCTGTTCTCTCTTGGTGACATACAGAGAGATAAGAAAGAGAGAGGGAGAGACAGTGGAAATAAAACGAATCGTGTTTTTTTCTTTTTTGTTCTTTGGCTTTCTGTCTTCGTTTTCCGTGTTGATAAAATCTATTTGTTTTCACGTGCAATGTGTCTGCAGATTCTATCTCGAAATAACCCTTTTTTTTGTTGTTGTTGTTGTTGTTTGCCTCTTTCATTGCTTCAGATGGTGAGATGCTCTTCTTCACACGATTTGATCTCTCTTCTTACTTAATTCATCAATGTTATCAACAAAGCCACCGCCTTAGCTTGTTTCTCAGGTCTCTCCTCGAAAAACTCACCCTTTTCAATAATGGGCTTCGCTCTTTTGCTCAATAGCATTACAGCTTCTTCTTCTTCATCATCATCTGCTGGACAACAACCACATTTCTCCCTTCAGAGATATATTCATGGTTTGCCCATTTTGGAACTATCCTCCATTTGCATCAATTTGACACTTTTCCTGGCTTTTCTTTTCATAATATCTGCAAGGCAAATATTTGTATGTGTTGGTCGAGTTCGAATTCTTAAAGATGATTCTGTCGTGAATTCAAGCCCAATTAGGAGAAGCATTAGTGTTGATGGAGAAGTTCAGGATGTTATAGTCGGTACTGGGTTTAAATTGTCTGTATTTTGTTGTTTCTTTGTGCTGCTTGTGCAAGTTGTGGTGCTGGGATTTGATGGATTTTGTTTGATAAGAGAGGCTGTTGATGGGAAGGATGTGGATTGGTCTGTTATTGCCTTGCCTGCTGCTCAAGGTTTAGCTTGGTTTGTATTGAGTTTTTCAGCTCTCCATTGTAAATGCAAGGTGTCTGAGAAATTCCCATTGTTGTTGAGGGTATGGTGGTTTATTTCTTTTCTGATTTGCTTGTGTACATTGTATGTTGATGGGAAATCATTCTTAGTAGATGGTTCAAATCACTTGTCTTCTCATGTTGTGGCCAATTTTGCTGTAACCCCAGCTCTTGCATTTCTTTGCTTTGTTGCAATTAGGGGCGTAACTGGTATAGAAGTCTGTAGAAACTCTGACCTTCAGGAGCCATTGCTTCATGAAGAAGAGGCAGGTTGTCTTAAGGTTACCCCTTATAGTGATGCTGGGCTCTTTAGTTTGGCCACCCTTTCTTGGCTAAATCCACTTCTTTCAATTGGTGCAAAGAGACCGCTTGAGCTTAAGGACATTCCCCTTCTAGCACAACAAGATCGACCCAAGACTAATTATAAGGTTTTGAATTCAAATTGGGAAAAATTGAAGGCTGAAAACCTATCAAAGCAACCTTCTTTGGCTTGGGCAATTTTGAAGTCATTTTGGAAGGAAGCTGCTAGTAATGCAGTATTTGCTTTGTTGAACACTCTTGTTTCCTATGTGGGCCCATACATGATTAGCTACTTTGTTGATTTTTTGGGAGGGCAGGAGACTTTCCCTCATGAAGGCTATGTTCTTGCTGGAATATTTTTTGTATCCAAGCTCATAGAGACATTGACAACCCGTCAGTGGTATCTCGGGGTTGACATTTTGGGTATGCATGTGAGATCAGCTCTAACGGCAATGGTGTATCGGAAGGGCCTGAAGCTCTCAAGCTTAGCTAAACAAAGTCACACCAGTGGAGAAATTGTTAATTACATGGCAGTTGATGTTCAAAGAGTGGGAGATTATTCTTGGTATCTCCATGACATTTGGATGCTTCCTTTGCAAATAATTCTTGCTCTTGCAATATTATATAAAAATGTTGGAATTGCTTCCATTGCCACATTAATTGCAACCATTATATCCATCATTGTTACTGTTCCTTTGGCAAAGGTCCAAGAAGATTATCAAGACAAGTTAATGGCTGCCAAAGATGAAAGAATGAGGAAGACTTCTGAGTGTCTAAGGAACATGAGGATTCTAAAGTTACAAGCTTGGGAGGACAGGTATCGAGTGAAACTGGAGGAGATGAGGGGTGTAGAATTCAAGTGGCTACGGAAAGCCCTCTATTCTCAGGCCTTTGTTACATTCATTTTCTGGAGCTCCCCCATATTTGTTGCAGCTGTTACATTTGCAACGTCTATATTATTGGGGGATCAACTCACAGCGGGTGGTGTGCTTTCTGCACTAGCCACTTTCAGAATCCTTCAAGAACCACTCAGGAATTTTCCTGACCTGGTGTCTATGATGGCGCAGACAAAGGTTTCTCTTGATCGAATTTCTGGATTCCTACAGGAGGAAGAACTGCAGGAAGATGCCACCATTGTTCTGCCCCAAGGCATGTCAAAGGTGGCTATAGAGATTAAGGATGGTGAGTTTTGCTGGGACCCCTCTTCTTCAAGGCCCACCTTATCCAGAATACAAATGAAAGTAGAAAGGGGAATGCGTGTGGCAGTTTGTGGCATGGTTGGCTCTGGAAAATCAAGCTTTCTCTCTTGCATCCTTGGGGAGATTCCTAAAATCTCTGGTGAAGTAAGTCTGATTCATAGAGCTTTAAAACTATTTTCTTCCTCAAATTTGACTCTGTTAGTTTTACAATTTTTTTCCCCATTAATGCAAAGGCTTTTAGATTTGTTATTCTTTTACTTTGATGTTTGAATAGGTTCGAGTGTGCGGTACTGCTGCCTATGTCTCTCAGTCGGCTTGGATACAGTCTGGCAATATTGAAGAGAACATTCTTTTTGGTAGTCCAATGGATAAAGCAAAATACAAGAATGTTATCCATGCTTGTTCCCTGAAGAAGGATTTTGAACTCTTTTCACATAGGGATCAGACCATAATTGGAGATAGAGGTATAAATCTGAGTGGCGGACAGAAACAACGTGTGCAACTTGCAAGGGCACTTTATCAAGATGCTGATATTTATTTGCTTGATGACCCCTTCAGTGCTGTTGATGCACACACTAGCTCAGAACTGTTCAAGGTTTGACTTAATCAATGTACTGCACACATTGCTGTTCATATCAATAGAATTTGGCTGAACGATTCATTTTGGAACTGCAGGAATACATAATGACAGCACTTGGGAGTAAAACTGTTGTTTTTGTGACCCATCAAGTTGAATTTCTACCTACTGCTGATTTGATACTGGTAAGGAACAGTCCCAAATTTATTTATGCTAGCAGCCCAGCCTGCAATGATGCATGCTTAAGTGCACTCTTTCTGATGGGATGACCGCATGGCACATACTAAAATTTATGCCCTATCACAACGTGTGCTTTAGTTTCTACTATGATCTGTAGACAAATTTTTAGCAGAACAATTTTGATAGTGGAATTAGTGAGGTGTCAATTTTTATTTTTAGGAACTGGCTTTTATTCCTAAATTATCTTGAACCATTCAAATTGGACAGTTCACTGACTGTTAAGCCCTTGTCTTAAACGATAAAACTTTTACATTCAATACTTCAAGCAATTGAGAAAGTGGACAAATTGCACTTGTTATGTTATGTATATTAGTTTCCTTGTGCCATCTTATGTGATTTATTTCTTGATGGTTCTTCTGGAGTGAAATTGGTGGCATATCTAATTATCTATTGCTTTTTTGCCAGACAGGCATATTATCGGTTGAATTCATTGCTTTGCACCTGTGTTGGCTTTCTTTTTCATTGAGAAAAGATATATTATTTTTCTGGACTAATCCTTGTTCAAGGCCATGCGCCCCCTCTACCTCCCAACCCAATTCCACTCTCTTTATCTAATTTCATGTCCAGTATTGGAGGTTGTAGAATGTGATTGATTAATGCTAAAGTAGGTGGGAGGGTTTAAAATGATCTAATTAATGAATGAGATAGTAATGACATGCTACAGGAGACACCATAGGAGATAACAATACATTGCCAACAATACTATGGCAAAGTCAATAATGTTGGAATGTTAGACAACATGGTGCAACTTACTGTATGACCATGGACTCGATATATGGTGAAGTATGAGCATTGTTTTTGACATCTGAACAATAAAAAATGGAAGCTGGGGCTAAAACCTAGCATGTAAGATTAATTGTGCCTTTACCGAGAAATCAAATTTAAAGCTGGTGGAGATGAAGTGTTGTTTGGGCAGAAAGCTCTTTGTTTTTCATTCAACTGTTGTTCATATAATAATGAATTTTCTTCGAAGTAATTATGCAGTATAAGTGCCTGTGTCATTATTTTCTGTGATCCAGTATATGAGTTGTAACATTTTTCTTCTTCCTCTTTCTTTCTTTCTTTCTTTTTTTTTTTTTTGGCTAATGGTGGTTATATGATGAGACTGGTTTTTAATACATTGTTCTGAATATTTTATTCTCAAATGTAATCAATCCCTTCTGCAGGTTCTTAAGGAAGGCCGCATTATACAGGCAGGAAAATATGATGAACTTTTACAAGCAGGCACCGACTTCAAAACTCTTGTCTCAGCTCACCATGAAGCAATTGAAGCAATGGATATTCCAAGTCACTCATCAGAAGACTCAGATGAAAATTTGCTTCTTGATGGGCCAACCATGCTAAATAAAAAATGTGATTCGACTGGAAATAATATTGACAGTTTGGCAAAGGAAGTGCAAGATGGTGCATCAGCTTCAGACCAGAAAGGAATTAAAGAGAAAAAGAAAACAAAGCGGAGGAAAAAGCAGCTTGTTCAAGAAGAGGAAAGGGTAAAAGGAAGAGTCAGCATGAAGGTATACTTGTCATATATGGCGGCCGCATATAAAGGCTTTTTGATACCACTTATTGTTCTTGCACAAACATTATTTCAGTTCCTTCAAATAGCTAGTAATTGGTGGATGGCATGGGCAAACCCCCAGACTGAAGGAGACCAAGCTAAAGTCAGTCCTTTGGTCCTTCTTGTTGTTTATATGGCCCTTGCTTTTGGGAGCTCTTGGTTTATATTTGTCAGGGCTGTTCTGGTTGCCACATTTGGTCTAGCAGCCGCACAAAAATTGTTTCTCAATATGCTTAGAAGTGTGTTTCGAGCACCGATGTCTTTTTTTGATTCAACTCCTGCCGGACGGATCTTGAATCGTGTAAGTTTTATAGTATATATTTTCATCTGACAATGTATGCTTTAAGTTGCTAAATCTTCTATTTGTCTTTGTTTGAACTCCACTTTCTTTTATTCAGATTATATGATGACTGTCATTTATAAACTTGCAGGTGTCTATCGATCAAAGTGTTGTGGATCTTGATATTCCTTTTAGACTTGGTGGGTTTGCTTCAACAACAATACAGCTTCTTGGGATTGTTGGTGTGATGACAAAAGTTACTTGGCAAGTTCTGCTTCTTGTTGTCCCAATGGCTGTTGCTTGCTTGTGGATGCAGGTAGTTACTTCTATGTTGCCACAAATTTCTGTTGTTGGGTTCCATTGACTCTCAAATTTCTAAAGCGGACAATATTTACTTCAATCAAATTTCTATTAGCTATTGTTTGTGTTTTCTTTTCTTCTTCGTTAATCATGTGCCATTATTTTTTTCCTCCTTTTATCCATATGAATGGTGGTAAGGGAGGAATGACATATTAAATCCATCTGCTTCTATTTCTAAATGCACATATCTGAAGAGTAAAGACCAATTTGAGTATTTCTTCAGCTCAATTGATAAAGAAGATTGATGGGTGATTGATTATTTCTTAAAATTGCTTTAAATTCTGGTTTTAACTTATGAAAATGTGGTCCATGAAGCACTTCCAACGACATCCTGTGAATGCAACGATGAGAATTGATAAATGTTGTCCCCAAAATATCCCTCATACTATTCTTTGTTGATTATTTTATATGTATGTCGACATGGTCTAAAACATTAATGGTAAGATTAAAAGGATACGACCTTATCTTGGATTTGCCTTACGACTTTCACATTATTTGACAAGATTAGTTTATCATATTTTATTTGTTTTTAGATTCTTGTATTTGCAGTTGAAGTTGAAGTTGCCAATCCATAGAACCACATTGTTTTCATTAATCTACCTTGAACCCCTTTAACTGTTGTTGATGAATCTAACACACTTTGTGATTTCAGGGTTATTGTAGTGTAGTTTCTTTGGAAACATGTTTCTTCTGATTAATTGCTCACTTATTGCTGGTTGCAGAAATACTACATGGCTTCATCGAGGGAACTGGTCCGCATTGTTAGCATCCAGAAATCTCCAATTATTCATCTTTTTGGTGAATCAATTGCTGGAGCAGCCACGATAAGAGGTTTTGGGCAAGAGAAAAGGTTCATGAAGAGAAACCTTTATCTTCTCGATTGTTTTGGTCGTCCATTCTTTTGCAGTCTTGCAGCCATTGAATGGCTCTGCCTGCGCATGGAATTACTTTCAACCTTTGTATTTGCTTTTTGCATGATTTTGCTCGTGAGTTTTCGACATGGAAGTATTGATCCAAGTAAGTAAATCTTTTGCATTATTTATCTGCTTGATTTGTAATAAATTTCGAGTGATCATGAGTGATGTGTACTGCAAAGCTCATTCTGATGCTAATTGTTCTTGCTTCTTCTAAACAGGTATGGCAGGCCTTGCTGTGACATATGGCCTTAACTTAAATTCACGTCTATCGCGGTGGATACTTAGCTTTTGCAAGCTCGAGAATAAAATTATTTCCATAGAGAGGATTTATCAGTACAGCCAAATTCCAAGTGAAGCTCTTCCGGTTATTGAAAACTCCCGCCCTCCATCCTCATGGCCTGAAAGTGGAACAGTTGAATTGCTCGATTTAAAGGTATCTAGTTGTTTTTCTCCACAACATGCAGTACCTTCTTTTTCCTTGCAACACTGGAGACTTGTATACACCATTCTTTTTCTACACTAGATCTTTCACAGTACTAGCAACTTCATGAGGAAGCGTGCAGGGTTTGAGTGCTTTATGGCATGAGAATGGAGAATCTAGTGCTTTATCGTTTTCATCATCTTTCTTCTCTTTTCTCCCCTTGCTTGATGAAAGTATACTTAATTGAGAAATTTCGGTTCTGTTTATGAATTTTTTTTTTATTTTTCTCATATCACACAAAAAAAGAGTGAAAGATTTTGTTGGGGGCTGTGTGAGATCAATAGATAAGACAGTTTTTTTTTTAATGATGTTGGAGAAAAAGGATAAAATACCCTCTTTTAGAATATTACTGGCACCACATGCTGACATTACCTTTCCTTTTTATGTTCCTTTTTCTGAAGGTTCGTTATGGGGAAAATCTTCCTGTGGTGCTTCATGGGGTGACCTGTGCATTTCCCGGTGGCAAAAAGATTGGAATTGTTGGGCGTACTGGAAGTGGCAAATCTACTTTGATCCAAGCATTATTCCGATTGATTGAGCCAGCCGGTGGGAGAATCATTATAGACAAGATCGACATTTCAACAATTGGGCTCCATGACCTTCGTAGCCGTCTTAGTATCATACCCCAGGATCCTACATTATTTGAAGGAACTATTAGAGGCAATCTTGATCCTCTTGAAGAGCATTCAGATCATGAAATTTGGGAGGTATAAGTTTCACTTGCATACCCAGCTCTCTCTCTCTCTCTCTCTCACACACACACACACACACACACTTAACGAGTATGCTAAAGCCGTAGGGTTATTTTAAGTTTATGAATTTCACAGACATGCCAGTATTCTCCCACCAGCTTTATTCCCAATGAAACGCAATTTTACCATGTGCTCGTTGAATCTTGAAATATGATCATGTCGAATGACTTGCAACCAATTAAGTACTGAATTTTTATTTGTCACAGGCACTTGATAAATCTCAGCTTGGAGATATTGTTCGTGAGAAAGACCAAAAGCTTGATACACCAGGTTTGAACTGTCCCTATTGGACATCATTAATGTGTCATCTGAACTGAAAAAAAGAAAAGAAAAAATGCATAGAGAAAAAAGAGGCAAAAGCCCCTTGAATTTGCATGTGGTTGATAGATCATCTTTTGTTTGATGTAAAATGTGCAGTTTTAGAAAATGGAGATAACTGGAGTGTGGGGCAGCGGCAACTTGTTTCCCTGGGCCGGGCTTTACTCAAACAGGCAAGAATACTTGTCCTAGATGAAGCAACCGCATCAGTTGATACTGCCACTGACAATCTCATACAGAAGATCATCCGAACAGAGTTCAAGAACTGCACAGTTTGCACTATTGCACATCGTATTCCGACTGTAATTGACAGCGATCTTGTTTTGGTACTAAGTGATGGTATGGAAAACAATATCTTTAATATTTTCATCCGAAGTTTGAGCTGTTTCAGTATTATTAATTGGTGTAAAGTTATTCAAAGTCTGACTTTTTCCCAATGAATTGGAAACATTTTTGCAGGTCGAGTTGCAGAGTTTGATACTCCGGCACATCTCCTAGAGGATAAATCATCCATGTTTCTAAAGTTGGTAACCGAGTATTCATCAAGATCAAGTGGCATACCAGATTTTTGAAACAGATTGCATGCCCAAAATGGGCATTCTTACACTCAGAGGCACGGGGAACTGAGGGACCATCCAGGAGTGAACCAGCTGCCGCTGCTTCTTTTTTTGCAGCGCTTGGCAAACTCAATGACAAATGGCAAGGAGAGATGTGCACATCAAGCCATTAAACCAAAACCTCAAGTAAAATAGTTTCTTCAAGGTAATTTCAAGTTAATTCATCCCCTTAAGTGGATTTGTGGAATTCCTGCATGGTTATCAACCTGGCATACCTCGTAACAGAAAATAAGTCAGATGGGTAGAGTTGGATAACAAGTACACGGAAGAAAAATAAATGGGTGACTCATATTTGTTCAAACATGTGCAAGAAAGTAGTGCTTAGAAAAATGTTCCATTGTGGTTGGGACAATTTGTAGAGTTCTTAGTCAGATCCTCTTTCTACAGCAGAAGTTCAGTTGTAGACTGAAGAAAATAAATTTTGTTTCATCTCTGTCAACTTAAGTTATAGGCTTTGATGCCATGAATTTTGCTTCAAACTTAATTTTTTCCTGCTCTTTCTCCCACACTTAGATTTGATAATTGAAAATATAATATGATGACATGGTACAAAAATGATATGAAAAAAATATAAAAATAATATAATTTAAAATTTTAGCCAAAATTGTATATAAGTTTAACAGAAACAAAAAAATTTATTATTTTTCGTATCAACACGAATTATGATACATAATTTTCATATAAAACATAACATGAATGAATTATTATTGTTTTGTATGATATGAAATTGTCAGGTCTATTCTCACGCTTCAGTAATACCAAAAATACTGCTTGAGCAGACAAATTCTAAACTTTTACATACAATTGAGCAGCTTTGACAGAATATATGTTGTTAAAATTTTCTTGCAACCATCTTGATAATGCAGGCTCGTTGATGCCAGCAAAATTTTTTTTTTTTTTTTTGGTATTGAATCAAGAAGGTACCATTACAAACCACAAAACACAAGAACATTGTTAGTACAAGATGGGAAAGAAATTAAAACGAGCATAACCAATAAGGACAAGGCGAAAGTGAAACCCAAAGAGGAAAGAAGCAAGACTCAAAATCCAACCCATAAAAAGCCTGCATCGTGCTAAAAGATGTCCCATTTGTGCAGAAGTTCTGCCAGTGATCATAGCCCACAAAACAACCTTGACAACTGTCTTTTTCCATTAGCAATTGTTTTTTTTTTTTTAATTATATCAAGAAAGTAAAATTTTAATATAAAAAAAATTTAATTCGAAATCAAATCTTTTATCTTTTCAAATATTTTCAATCATTAGACTTATCTTCTCAAATATTTTTAATCATTTGACTTCAAAAGGCTTGAGGACCATTTAACAATTGTTGCATGAAGTTCCCAATACACTTGTTCCTCTCCTTATCAAGGTTGTTTCCGAATAAACGAGGTCCCCACCTATGTTCCCACTTCCTTTTTCCTATGTATCGGATTGATTATTTAGCAAAACCAAATCTCTTTGCTTGAAGGAAAGTAGAGGTGAGAAGAAAATTGAAAATGAATATATTTAGTTTGAATGAGATCAATTTTTTTTATTTGATTTAAATTAAATTTAAATATTAAATATATATTAAATTTAGATTGAATTTTGAATCGTAATGTAAAATATTAAAAAAATCGAATCAAATCAAATTATATATTTTTATTAATTTTTATATATATTTGAAATTTTAATAAAATAAAATTATTATTTTATATATAAATATATTTAATGTATTAAAATCTTGTTAAAATCATATATAAAAACAAAAAATTTTAAATTTAAAAATTGATAAATTGAATTGATAAGATTTTATTTGGATTTGATCGATTTCAAAAGAAGATTAAATCAGATTTAAAAAATTTATAATATTATATATTATTTGAAAAATCAAAACAAATCTAATTTGATCTAAATTGTTAAGAGAAATACTAAACTTCTTAGATTTTCTGCTTGAGATTTTTGTTTCTTTCCAAAAATAGAATAATTTCATAACATCTCAAATTTTTTAAAATTCTTTCGAGTTTGTTGAAAAATTACGAAAAGATATTTTTTAATTTATTAAATTCAATGTAAATAATTTTTTTGATCAATTTTAAAAAATATATAGGAAATTAAATCCAGAAAAATCCTTTCCGCTTGAAAAAAAAAAAAATCATTCACCAACTAAACCAAAATAATAGTCATAAAATAACATAGGTTCTCCTGCATTTTCCGTGGCCGAAATTGAGAAAAAGAGTGAAGCCTAAAACATGGCTCAATATTTCCAGAGGCCGAAAACGAAGAACCCAAAGCCCAAATCGAATGCGACCTAAAATTAGACCCAAAATCCAAACCTTCATCTTTGAAGTTGATCTCAAAACAAAACCATTTCCCTTCTCTCGGAGAGGCTAAGCTGAGAAAAGATGCAGGCGATTACCAGACGCTTAGGGCAGCAATCTTTGAGGCCAACGGCTTCAATCTCTTCTATCAAGTCTATTTACCCTCTCTCCGATCACTGTACCTTTTCCATTCCCTCTTTTTAATCTCTCAATTGATCTTTTTTTTTTCTACTTCTATTTTAATGGTGCTTCGCATTTGCATCAAATTGATGGATTTTGTCAAAATTTGAAGCATTTTGTTATCAAAATTGTCAGATGACGGAGTTGATCATTCGCGGTACGGATCTACGCTGGCCGCTCACAAGGGCTTGGGCCAGCTTGTTCGGAAGGGAACCGGTGGCCGATCTTCCGTTAGGTCATTTCTTGGAATTTGTACCTTTTAACTAAAATTATCGGTTTGATTGCCATAAATATACCCCGTATGGTTTCTTTTGCTTTTAAAACATTATTAGTATGATTGAACTTATAAATTAGGGATAAAAGTTTGCATTTTCTTGCAGTGGCATTATAGCTACAGTTTTTGGAGCTACTGGATTCCTTGGTCGTTATCTTGTTCAACAGCTCGGTAATTTAAATTTATTTATTTTAGTTGTTATCAAGGTTGTTAATATCGTGCCGGACAACGATTTCAATTTTTTTTAAAATATGGTGTATATCGATACCAATTGTTTCGGCATATTATTTTGGATTTTTCGGTTTGGTACAAATATATTTATAAGCATATATGAACTTGTACGTTATAATATTATTAATAATTCACAAAATAAATATGCAGTATATTTAAAAATCAAATAAATAAGTTTAAAAGCATAAGAAATAATATCATAAATTTTTCATGATATTTTTAAACACTTAATCTGATCATATGATAGTTAAATAAATATTTTTCATATAAATATTAAGATAAAAACAAAGAAATAAAAAAAATTAACCAAGGTTTATGATTGTTAAATTTTATAAAAGGAGTATAATTATTTTCTTGAAAAAAAAAAATTAAAATACGTATAAACTTTGGTTTGAAAATAATAGAGTATAAAAAAATAAAATTAAAATAAAGAAGCTTAACTTTTAAGGGTTATTTTGTCAATTAATTTTATTTTTATTAGGTCAAAAATAATTAAATAACAAAAAACAAGTTAAAATTTTCAAAGTATATTATACATTCACATACCAACCGAAACATGTTATTTCACTGAAATTCATTGAAATAGGCCGAAACTAATGAAAACAACCGGTATTACCTGGTACCAAATCTGGTACAAAAAATTATCCTTGGATGTATCGTATTTTGGTATAACTGACCGGTACGGCAAGTACCAAAACGAAATTAACAACTATGATTATTATTGTAACTTTATTTTGATGTTATACTTCTTTTTTGTGCTAAAAAGTTTCATGTTTCACCTTAAAATTTGCATGAGTGAGAGCTTGTTTTGTTTGATATATATATATATATATATATTAATTCCACTTTGAGGGTTTATTTGCAATGTGTATACTTACTGATGTTTTTCTTTTTATTTTAGCTAAAATGGGATCTCAGGTGTTAGTTCCTTTCAGAGGTTCTGAGGATAACCCTCGTCATCTCAAGTTGATGGGAGATTTGGGACAGGTAGCATACCACATGAAATTGTTTTTGTATTCAAATTCAAATTCAAATTCAAATTCAAATGCATATTCAATTGCATATTATGTTTTGATTTCATATTTCTCGTATGCAGATAGTGCCAATGAAATACGATCCAAGGGATGAAAATTCGATTAAGGCTGTGATGGCAAAGGCCAATGTTGTTATCAATCTTATTGGTATGCTAGGCCTCTCTTTTGATTTTGCCTATGAAAGATATTTAAATCTTGGATTTGTATGATCAGTATTGCTTATATTGGCAGGAAGAGAGTATGAGACAAGAAACTATAACTTTGAGGAAGTGAACCATTTCATGGCAGAACAACTGGCAGTGGTATGTTGGAACTTTCATTCACATTGAAATTGGCACCATTACTGTCTTGAATAATTGTATTAGTTTGATTTTGGACTGTTTCTTGTGTATGGGCTAAATGTTATATTCAGTCCTTTGTTGGACGAAGGTGTGAGGGCGTGGGGAGTTTGAAGTAGAAGGAAATGTATTATGTACCACCTTTTTTTCCCTCTGAATAAGGGGGAGTTGGGGCATGCACTCTATTTGAGTCTCTATCATATATGTCATCTTTAGATTTGAATGTGAATGGCAAGTTCATTGATTTTATTTCCTTATATTTGAGCGTCTATCATATACATTATCTTTAGATTTGAATGTGAACAGCATGTTCGTTGATTTTATTTCCTTTTCTGTCATTCATACTGTTAGATTTACGGCCAAGTTATCTGTGATGCATCTTTATCAAGTTTTCAAATATGGAACAGTGTATAGTTTGTGACTTTGTGTATCATATCATCTTCTGCTATCAACCATGTCCTACATTCTGCTATCAACCATGTCCTGCTTCATGTATTAATTTTTCCTTGTTGATTTCAGATTGCAAAAGAACATGGTGGTATCACGAGATTTATTCAAGTTTCTTGCTTAGGGTCTTCTCTGTCATCTCCATCAAGATTTCTAAGAGCTAAGGCAGCTGGAGAAGAAGCTGTTTTGAAAGAACTTCCTGAGGTAGTTAACAACGTGACTTCTCTTCTTTTGGATTATAAGAATTTAGAGATGAAGTCATAAGTGCATACCTTCTTCCTCTGGTAGAATTAAAGAATGCATTGATGTTATTGTGCCTGCAACGACCTCCATTCCTCTATGCTTTGTAACTTCTTTGCTCATTTCACAAACTGGTTCTACATTGTTGAAGTCTTAGGCAATGGTTTACTTGAAGTTTCCCTATCATCCTTTACAAAAGCAAAATACTAGTTCATTCAGTTTGCTATAAGCTTTGTTCTGAGTTAATGGTTATTTTTTACTCTTATTAATGTTTAATGTCAAATTTGTGATACTTTCTTTTACCTGAAAGCTATTTAGGAAATTCCTCAAAGAAGTAATCTGGAAAACATCAAGCATTTATAATTACAATAGAAGAGTCAAAGTTGTTGAATTTTGTATTGTTGAAACTTGGTTTTGGACTTTGCATGAAGATGTGATGTTACCTCTAGGAAATCATGAGAATGATACATTAACACTGGTAGTGCAATCGTAATAAGAACCCGAATAGTGCTGAACCTAAGTACTAATAAAATTACACACGCATATCTCTTTCCTGAATCTTGAGGGAAGGTAAGTGACAATAGTAAAAGGGGTCAACTGAGTTGAAAAGGTGTGATTAGCTCATTAAAGGTTGGTCTTTGCCATGCTTCCTCATTGTCTTAGATGTTACCCTTTGCTTTCAACATCAACATTTTTAGCATATTATTCCTTATACAGGCTACTGTGATGAAACCTGCTGTAATGATTGGAACTGAGGATCGAATCATGAATCGTTGGGCACAATTTGCGAAGAAATATAGTTTTCTTCCACTCATTGGTGATGGATCTACCAAGTAATTTTGGATTAAAACCTGAGCGTTTCAATTGAAATTTGTGTGATCCTTTTCTCCTGGAAGCTTTGTTCATCTTTTGCTAACAACAGCTTCTTTACAGAATCCAGCCTGTATATGTTGTTGATATTGCTTCTGCAATCGTTGCTGCCTTGAAAGATGATGGTACCAGCATGGGAAAAGTTTATGAGTTGGGTGGGCCAGAGATCTTTACTGTGCATGAACTGGTAATTTCTTTCCCTCTTGATGATTTATTGCAGTGATGCTTCTTGGTGTAACTGAACCTAAAATTCTGCAGGCTGAGCTTATGTATGACATGATCCGTGAATGGCCACGCTATGTAAATGTACCTATACCCATTGCAAAGGTAAATCTGTAACTTTTGTATTTGGACTAGTGCCACAAGAAATGTTTTAGTTGTTCTAAGCTAGTGCAGCTTTTTATTATGTTGTCTAATTTGTTAGTATTGACTTTATGCATGGTAAATGATAGTTATGCTGGAAACAGAAGATGATTTCTTTAAACTATCAATGGAATGCATCTTGTGCTTTTCATGCCTTAATTATGACTAACACTCTTTTAAGCTTTACTGTGCTTCTACTTGCTATTCATGTTTCTGTTGTTTGCTATTGTCACATTGTCGTTGCTTAGTACCATTTGCTGTTGAATTATCTAATTTAACAGTTCACGGGTTTGATGATTTCAGGCAATTGCCATGCCCAGGGAGGTATTACTCAAGAAAGTGCCATTTCCACTACCAAATCCTGACATCTTCAATCTGGATCAGATACATGCATTTGCAACTGATACAGTTGTCTCAGATGATGGTCAGTTGAAATTGTTTCAGGCTATAATATATCATTCTTTCTTATAATTTTTAATGGCGTTGCCAATTAGTTACCTTGTTACAAGATGTATTCATCTCTCATTTTCCCCTTATTTTGTGGTGGGTTTTGTAGCTTTAACTTTTATGGATTTGGGTGTTGTGCCTCATAAGTTGAAGGGATACCCGGTTGAGTTTCTTATCCAATATCGAAAGGGTGGTCCACAATTTGGGTCTACGGTCAGTGAAAAAGTTAATCCGGAATATTGGCCATAATTTCATATGGATCTTTCATTTCTGGTGTGTTTTTTGTCCTAAAATGCCACCGATTGGAAAAGCCTATACTGGTATGTGATGCCTTCATCTCCCTTAAGACGAGAATGACGCAGAGTGCAAGTTCTAGTTTCTTTTTTTTTTATGTTAAGATGATGAATGTGATTTTCGAGTAGCTAGATTTAATAAAATTCAGATACTTGGTTAATCACTATGTACAACATTTGCAACTCTTGACATTTTAGGTGCCCTGGATAACTAATTAGTGGCATCACAGGTTTTGCAGGGATGGGCTTGTTTTCTTTGGCAGAAACTAGGAAAGAATAATGAAGGGGAAGGATCCTTCAGTTAATTCATGAATATGTATAATTGTGAGAAATATTCATCTCATTTTTTTTAGACGATCATTCTTGGGGTTATCTCCTGTTAAAAGAAACCATTTTATTTGTTTCTATGGCAATTATTTCGTTGTACCCTTGCTTTGGGTTTTCCTCAAATTCCATGGTAGTATGAAATGCTGCAGCTAAATGGTTCTTAAATCCCCTTTCTGCCGTTCGTTGGTTTTTGGCCTTTCAAGTTTTTTTTTTCTTTATTTTTTATAGCCAGATTCTGATTACATTAAATCATTAATGAAATTCTGTTCATATCAGGTTATTAAAACCAAGTGTGTGCTGTTTACTGCAACCAGTAGTACTGGATGATAAAAGAATTATATATAATATGTAATTTAGTTGATTTATAAAATTATTTTTAAAAGATGATATAAGTTTAAATTTAAGTATTTGCAATTTCTTGTTTTAAAAACTGATTTCTTCTGAAATTTAAATTTGAATGTGTCGGTGGTATTAAAATTTGAATCTTAAATTTTGAATATAAATCAATTGAACTAATGTCGATGTTACTTAAAAAAGATTGACATGGATCAAGGAAAGCAAAGCTATTCAGAAATTTATAAAAGGAAGTGCATTTGTTTAAGAACTGTTTTATATTGCGATGTGATGAACTGGGAAAAGAACTTTCTTTTTCGAAGAACAAGAAAATGAGAAAGACGAGAAAAAAAAAAGTGTTGTTTAAGTTATTCTAATAGAACATTGCCCTTTCTTGTGGCAAGCGAAAAGTGAAAGATAGCACAAACCTCATGGTGCAAGCAAAGAAGCCGAAGTACCATTGAAATCAACTGTGATATACTTGACCCAAAAATTCAAACCAAAGCTATCAGAAACCAATCCAACAATGTCAAGAAGCAGGACCCCGGAAAGCAGCTTAGGCTCTATGAATCGTATTAACTTCGAAGGAAGCAATGCTGGGGCAACAATGTTCATCCGTCGTGGCACACCAGACGAGCAAACCGAAGGTTGTTGCTGCGTCAACATTTATACCAACAGCAACGTCCAAGGGACAAACTCTTCTGTTTTGCTGGGGAGTAATATAAAAATGAAGAATCCTGGGGTTCATCTCTACTTCGGAGATCTAAAGTTGGGCGAAGAAACTGCAACTCCAACATCAATTTCCAGGAGGGCAGCCGGTGCCACATTAGAGTTTGGTACCCTGTTTTTGCCAGTGTTCATTCTACTCATTTTATTGCTGTGGCTATATTCATTGCTACAACTGTAGTAATACTGGTTTTTTTTTTTGGGGGGGGGGGGGGGGTGAGGGGACAAAACTCCTGTTCTTAGATAAGCCATTTGATGTTGGTCATCACAGGTTGTCATAAACAAAACATGTGTTGAGACATCAATGGCACTGATCTAAATATGTCGTGAGTTGAGTGGTTGCCCACTTTCCCTTCCCAAGTTTACTTCCGAGGCTTGGCTGTACCCATCGTTCCTTTATGCTCAAAATGTAACTAGACAGGGAATAGGTTTCATTTTTTTTTTTTTGTCGTGAGAGACACTTTCACATGTTTTTGTTTTCAACTTCATCCCCCTTTCAAGCACATAATAAAACGCATGATCAACTCAACCATTGGATGCTTGTTTGATGAATTTATGTTATTAATTAAAAGCTACGAGAACGAGGCATTTTGCCTATTGGAAGGGTTCATGTCACTAAAATGGTAGCCACTAGGTAGTCGGAGAATGCCGGCTAATTTCAAAGCAAGCTGACAATCAATTTATATCTAACCAAAACTGATCAATCCCATACCTCTTGTCAATTTACGAGCGTGCAAATATTATAGTTTATGTATGGTATATAAAATGATAAATATGATATAATATTAATAATTTTATATTATATTTGATTTATATCTAAAGAATATGATAAAATTATAAAAAAAATAAATCATTCTTTTGATATAAGATAATTTAATTCTCTCAAAATAAAAATATTATTTTTTAGTGGTGCTATTTACACCCCAAAAAATTATCAATACATCCCAAAAAATTAGCCTTTCAAAAAATTATTTAGATATTCATTAATTAATATCTTTTCATCCTTCACACTCATTTTTTCTTTTCAGTAAGTTACCATAAATTTATTATCGAAAGCTTTTGCGATATTTCAAAAATTCATTTTCGAAAACCTTTTTAATATATCAAAAATTTATTTTCAAAGACTTCATTGTACTAAAAAATACATTTTCGAAAAGCATTACAATTATTTGAAAATACATTTATGGAATCCATTACAATTATCTGAAATCAATTTCTGAAAGCAATTTTTTATTTCAATTTTTTGTTGCAATCTCTTAATCAATGTATGGTATGAGATTATCGAATGTCTCTTACTATGATCTCCAAAAAGGTCTTTAATGATTTCTTCGATGTATGGGCTATTTAAATCTGACAGTAGAAATTTTTAATCTTTTGGCCATACTGTCTATTCAATAATATTTGCAACATTTTTTCAATTCTAATAAACATGCATCTAAAAAAAATTAGTAATTGTGAAGAGGTGCTAATGCAAGTTGTTTGTTGCACCATGTGCAACAAGGCAATCACACTTTATCCCACATGGTGCAGCAACCAACTTGCAATAACGCCTCTTCATGTAGTGATTCCTTTCGTATGCATGTTTATCAAAATTACAAAAATATTAAAAACATTATTGAATGGATAGTGTCGATGGCCAAAAGATTAAAAGTTTTTATTGTCAGATTTGTCAATCTACTGAAAACATTGTCCAAGTCAATATTTCTTATGATGCCAAGTTATTGTGTCTTAAAAATCTATTTTTAAAAGTTTTTAAAGACTTCCAAAAATGAATGTCAGACAATACACTTTTGAAAATTCTTAAAGGTTTTCAGAAATAGATATTCATAAGCTTTTAAGGGATTCCAAAAATGAACTTTCAGAAATTTTAAATGATTATGGACATTCATTTTTTATAATCTTTAATAATTTTTAAAATTTCATTTTTGAAATATTCGAATTACAAATCGTACATCAAAACTTAAAATTTTAAATTTTATGAAATTAAACATAAAATCAAATAAAAAATAGAAAAAAATCGATTTACTTTTGATTCTAAGCTATCTAATGTCAAATAGGTAATTGGGATATAATTTCTTTAGGATTTCCGATCGAAGAAGATGGGGTGTGAAGAGATGTTGTGTTTGGATGTTTAGTAAATTTTTGTTTTGGGTTTGGAATGTGTTGAATAAAAAATTTGATATTAACAATAATAGGGTGTAAAGAGAATAAGTTGGGGTACAAATAGCATTACTTTTATTTTTAATCTATAAGATTAAATTTATATATTTTATTATATTTTTAAAAATTATACTAATAATTTAAATTATATAAATTTTGAGTAAAAATAATTTTAACTAATAAATAAATTATTTTATTATAATCTTTATACATATTAAACACAAAATAAGATAATATTATCTAATCAAATTCTATTTATAATATCTTCTTATCATGTCTTATAATAATTTTATATGCAAAATATATCCATAATTTCTAAGGTTATTCGATCTCATTATGATATTTTTTCATATATAATTTTATGATTCAAATTCGAAAGTGAAGATATAAAATAATATTATGTTATACAAACTTTAAAAGTGAAATTTTAACCTTTTACATAATATATTTTAGACATTATTTTAAGGAAATAAAGTATTTTATAGAAAATAAAATTTTACCTATTAATGACAATGACAAACAAGTATCATGCCATGTTGGTAATCATTGCCACATTCATGAAATATAGCCATATGGTGAAAGAGATAAACATGATTGACAACTTATGTGCCTTATCTACACATTTTAGATGTGGGTAATTAGTAAAGGGGATGGGAATTTTATTTTAGTAGCTTTTAATTAATCAATTACCCTTTTTAAAGCTTTTTTAAAGAAAATTTTAAGTTTCATCTTGTATATTATTTTTTCACACTGATTCAAACACAAACTAATTGATAAAAATTTATTTTTTCACAATTTTTCAACTATTCTAAATCCTTTTGAACTCATTAACCAATAGCATAGCACACTAAATTAATAATTTTTAAATTTTTTTATATCTTTTCTTGAAAATATTATAAATTTTTTGAATATCCATTTACGATAAACTCAATTTCAGAAAATAAAAAAAGTATGAATAAAAAAAATAAAGAGTATAATAAAAATAAAAAATTGAGTTTTAAATTTATATTGTATTTAAAAATGAGATATATAAAATAATATGAGATGTAAATATTTTTTTTCATATTTTCCTTCCTACAAAATTATTTGTTTGGGCTGCTACCAAAGAGAAAATTACTCTAAAGCCCAAAAAGGGTCCCACTCTTTGTCCACTCTGGTTTTCCACGTGTCGCTCGGACCATGTCGTCAAATTCTCAATTATTTTCTTAGTAAAACCCGCAGCAGAAGAAGCATTAGGCATTAGCTCTGCCAGGTTCCTCACGTTTTTTCACTTTCCGCAAAAGTATATTCAGGTATTTGACATTATTCAAAATTTCAACACGTCATCCTGTTGTCCAACGTGGTGAGATCCCGGTGGCTACCGACAACACACAGCCCCTCTGCCCACACTGCTAACTTGCGCCGTCCCCCTGCTCTTCTCTTGACGCCTCGCTTTTCTTGCATATAAATCCCTCTCTACTCTCAGCTCTAAATCTCATTGTTGCATTGGATTTTCATAGCATTTTAGTGCATTTGTTCAGTTCTAAAGTTCCAGTTTTGTTTTTCGTTTTGGGATCTGTGGTCTTACTGTGGGTTTCATTTTAAGCAGATGAATTGAGATTTGGGGTTTCAAAATTTTCTCTTGCTCGTTTGATGGTTCGAAATCAAGTGAGAAAGTTCGGTTTTTTATGCGGGGATCTGCTGATTAGCATGTGATTGAACTCTGATGCGACGCAGCCCACGGGCGTTGGTTCCTTTTGAAGCAATGGAGAAGGGTTCCCCTAAGTATCAACCAACCCGGCTCTGTTTTTTAGTTTGTTTATCAGCTTTTATCTGGGTTTTGCTTTTGCATGGCCATTTTGTACTCCTAGGAGGTGGCCCTACTGTTGAGGAATCAGTTGAACCAGAACCAGTCAAATTGGAATCTCCTTTGGTTAATGTTGAGTCCATCTCTGCTCGGGTGTCCAATGCCCGTGTAGAGAAGGAGAAACCACCACCCGTGCAACCTGTTAGGAATACAGCTGGTGAAAGGGCGGTGACTTACCCGTTTATGAGAGCCTTGAGGACGGGGGAAAACAAGAGTGATCCATGCCGGGGAAGGTATATATATGTGCATAATCTTCCTCCGAGGTTTAATGAGGATATGCTTAAGGAGTGTAAGAGTTTGAGTCTTTGGACTAATATGTGTGAGTTTACCAGTAATGAAGGGCTTGGTCCACCACTTGAGAATGTGGAAGGGGTGTTTGAGAATACTGGGTGGTATGCCACGAATCAGTTTGCGGTGGATGTGATATTCAATAATCGGATGAAGCAGTATGAGTGCTTGACTAATGATTCTTCGATTGCAGCTGCTGTATTTGTGCCCTTTTATGCAGGGTTTGATATTGCAAGGTATCTTTGGGGATATAATATCTCAAGGAGGGATGCTGCTTCACTTGATTTGGTTGATTGGCTGATGAAGAGGCCTGAGTGGGGTATAATGGGAGGCAAGGATCATTTTCTGGTGGCTGGGAGGATTACATGGGATTTCAGGAGACTGACTGATGAGGAATCTGATTGGGGCAATAAGCTTCTTTTTTTCCCTGCTGCAAGGAATATGTCGATGCTTGTGGTTGAGTCAAGCCCCTGGAATGCGAATGACTTTGGCATTCCATATCCAACGTACTTCCATCCTGCAAAGGATGAGGAAGTGTTTATCTGGCAAGATCGGATGAGAAATTTGGAGAGAAAGTGGCTATTCTCCTTTGCTGGTGCGCCACGTCCTGGTAATCCTAAGTCAATAAGGGGGCAGATTATCGATCAGTGTAAGAAGTCAAGAGTGTGCAAGTTGTTGGAGTGTGATTTTGGGGAGAGCAAGTGTCATTCACCTAGCAGTATAATGCAGATGTTCCAGAGCTCCCTGTTCTGCCTACAACCTCAAGGAGATTCGTACACACGACGATCTGCTTTTGACTCAATGTTGGCTGGATGCATTCCTGTCTTCTTTCATCCTGGCTCAGCGTACACACAGTACACTTGGCATCTTCCAAAAAATTATACTACATATTCGGTGTTCATCCCAGAGGATGATATTCGGAAAAGGAACGTTAGCATAGAGGAGAGGCTTAGTCAAATTTCTCCTGAACAAGTGAAGTTCATGAGAGAGGCAGTCATAAATCTAATTCCTATGCTTATATATTCAGATCCTCGCTCTAAATTGGAGACTCTTCGAGACGCTTTTGATGTTGCTGTCCAGGCAGTCATTGACAAAGTTACAAGGTTGAGAAGGAACATTATCCAGGGTCGAACAGAATATGATAACTTTGTGGAGGAAAATAGTTGGAAATATGACTTGTTGGATGAAGGGCAGCGTGAGGTGGGAGCTCATGAATGGGATCCTTTCTTCTCAAAACCAAAGGATAAGCAGAGAGATCAATCTGCTGAAGCTGCTAAAAATTCTTGGAAGAATGAGCAGAGAGATCAATCATAACTGGAAGTTGAAGCAGTCTATGAGTTGAACTCAAGCTTTAATGCAGTCTCCCGGCCTCAAAACAAGAGTTCCTGTTTTGAGTTGGGTAGATAGCAGGTATAACCTTGTAAGGGCCATCATGTTCATCAACTGTAGTTATTGGCACCAAGCATATCAGGCCGAAACGTTGTTTCGAACCAAAACATGTATACATATTCTCTGCACCAAACACAGTTCATATAGATTTTTCTCCTTTTGAGCTACGAATTTGCGTAGTGATTCTTTGTAACGTATTGTAGCTGAAATCTTGTCTGTTTAACGTGCCTGTCTTACCAATGCATGCACTAAATAATAACTAATAACCAGTTTTTTGCTTCATTATGGAGATTTGGGAATCAGCTTTTATGTACTTTCAATCATTGTATTGAATTCGTTCTGCTGCAAAGCTATATATGTAAACATTGGCTTACATGAGTCAATTATCTAATAATCTTGTAGTATTTGGTAACCTTTAATCTGTTGAAACACATCAAGTAAATCAGGAACAACTCCATGTTGTTCTCACTTCTCGTAGAGATTGTTACATTGTTTATGGTCAATATTTTTGAGCTTAGGATTCCAATGTGTAGGACATCTTGCTTTGCCTGAGCAAGCATCACGTCACCGTGAGATTTTATAGATGAACAGGGGTTTCAGCCTCAATCACCCCTCCATTTTTGTAGCTTTCAAGCCGGGAATGAAGAGTAAGATGATCACAAGGCATCTGACAAATGTTGTAAGCCTTAATTCTGTCTATTCAGTGTAAGTGAAGGCTTCCGAGGGAGTGAAAGTGAGAGTCAAACCTCGAATGTTAATATTCAGGCATATCAATCAAAGTTTGAGTTATAGAATAAGGGTAAATATCAAGGAAGAAAACAGAAACGAAGAGGAAAAGCTTTGACATGGGTGAATGCTCACAATAACTTTTATAGGGTTAGAAGTACCATTTCAATCACTTGGAAGTTCCATCTCAACACCTACTTTTACTAGGTCTATTTTAATTTCTCATTGAATTAATGCTTTATCAATATATGAGTTGAGCATATACCAATTTTAAGTGGGCAGAAACTCAAAAAAATATTAGCAAAGCCTCATCATCATCATCAAAATGACGAGTGAAGCAACAACAATAACTGCTATTTTATTACATACAATTGGACTTTCAAGCTCTTGGTTACTTACTAAACATCTTCCATATCATTTTAATTTTCTGTACACCCAATTGGTGAACATTCATATACCAAGAACTATTATTTCCACATTCATGGAGAACAAGTAATCTGTCAATGAATGTGAAGGATGAAAAGAAATTGCTATGAAATGCCTGACTGAGCTGCTTGAGCTGTAGTTAATCCAACAACAGCAAATTTTATGTCTGACCCTCGTAACTTCTTTTATCAGATATCAACATTCAATAACATAATACTAATCCTCTGCATGATACTGATCCTCTCTATTATGTATTACAAATCAGCTTCTCCAATTGCATTTGGATTGTTCTCTTGTCTATATATATCAGGAGGTCAACCACTGCGGATTTTCTGGCAAATTTAGCTAAGTTATTGTCTTCTCCTATCGTTTTAAATAGACTGATGAAAGATGATATTTTGGGAACTGCAGGGCCTAGAGGCTGTTTAGTGTAAGCGGGTTTCGCTCTTTACTTACCAAGACATAATCAGAGTAATTCATCAATGGAAGTAGCAGTCATCTTGGCAAACAAAAAAATGAAGTAAACAATTGGAAGATAGAAAAGGAAAACGCAAAACTTTGTTGGTTAGAAGGAAGCAACAAGGCATTTGCATAAAACCTACATGAGATTTCAAGTTACACTTAAAACAAAAATTAAATAACACCAATCAGGAAATTAATCCGGTGGAAATGAAGAGTAATACGAGAGAAGAATATACATTGCCTCATTTTTTGATGAATTGCAAACCGTTTTCATTAGAATACCGTTCCATGAATCTCATGAACCTGTCCCACTCTCGGGGAGATCGCATTACATACTTTGCTTCAATTCCTGCAGGCTTCCCATTTACAAATTTTGCATTCACATCAACTGACTGAAGAACTCCTTCCTCATCAATCATGTAAAAGCCAGTAATTTCACCAACTTCACCCGATGAGTCAAAAACGGAGGGTTGATCAAATCTGAATATAGCAACACCGTTTGTGCCATCTCTTGACTTGGTTAACCTCACATCTGGTATTGTCTGTTCATCAGTTCCTTGAATGAACTGAATTTTTGGTTTGACCATCATTGTTATGGGTCCATATTTCTTGGAGTTCCATCTCGTTGGCGAATGCCGTGAAGGAGCCACATGTAAAGATTGCCCATTGAATAGCGAATTCCCACTCCGGTGAACAACCCAAACCGGTATTCCTGCAAAACATCAAATGCTCATGCAACCACATTATCAAACCTTCCCAAATGACAAGTTATCATTCGTTGCATTTGGGAAGAAGTTCTCTCTGTTTTCTAGAAAAGAAGTTGAGAATAAATACCTGAGAGAGACCGCAGTTGCTTAAGCAAAGAATAAGAGACAGGAGAGGCCCATGCCATAGACTGAAGAGTTGCCATTGTGGAGTTGAGAAGGGAGAGGGAACGAGGGTTTTAGAAGATAGTAGCAGCCAATTGGTGAGTTGGTGTGGTGAATGTAGAGTGATGGCGTGTAACAAGGACAGCCATTCACTGCAGAGTTTGGATTAGTGGCAGAGATATAGGCATCTGTTGGCTATTGCCTGTTGGCGTTGGTGTTGTACCATGTAACGATAACATGCACCATGCAGACCCTGGAAAAAAAATATATATCCAGAGTGCAGACCAGATCCAAGCCTACTAATGGAAACCAACGGGTCAGGTGTTGGGCATTAGTCCACAAAGCCCATTGTTATATGCAAAAGCCTCCAAGTTTTATGCCTCACAGCCTCTGGGCTGGCTTAATCTTCCGAAAGCATCATTATTATTGTAGTGATTATTATGTTTGGTAGAAATAAAAAATATGAAAAATAAAAGATATTTTTTTTATAAAAATATTTAAATATTTTTTTCATTATTGATTTTTTAACCTTTATGTTATAGCATATACTTTCATTATTACAATAATTAATTTTACTGTTATTGTTATTTTAATTCAAGTAAAGTGGCAACTAACCATCTTTTTACCAATTGGGCAGTGGCATACGGGTCTAGGCTAAGGCCATTCTTACTCATTCAGGTTAAACAGATAACCCAAAATGAAGAATACTAAACCATTCGTGTGCAATTCTTGCACCTGCAAGAAAGAATCACCTACATAAGACCGTGTTTGTCGCACCAAATCTTGGAAAGAGAAAAAGAAAAAAAAATCATAGAAAAACAAGAATAATTCTGCCATATTTTGAATTTTTTTGGGCTTCTAATTCGGTAAATGCTAATTTTGTACGGACAAAGTTTCTTGCGTCGCCAAGTATTATGTGACTTTGAATCCGCCAAAATGGGCTGAAACTTTTGATGAAAATGAAAGGCTAAAAGCAAGCATGCTATTATTTCTCATACAAGTTGCTCTCTTTTGTCGGTAAGTTTGACCGTGCCGACTTTGGTTTATATTATTTCTAATTTCAATGTTATATATAAGGTTGATACTTCCATTCGAAATCGATGAATTTTAATTTGATCTAATTTTATAAAATTAATTTTTTTTAAATCAAATTTTGGATCGAATCAGATTTTAATTTTAGATAAATTTGATTTGATATGATATTATATAAAAAATTATTTTTTAAATTATTTTTAATTTATATATTTATATTTTAAAAATAATATTTTATTAATTTCAGATCATATCGGATACGATTTATATAATATTAAGTTCGGATAAAAAAATTAAAAAAATTTTAGATCGAATACGAATACAAATTTTATGATTATAAAAATCGAATCGAATTTAAAGCGAGTAAAAATTTACTCCGATCTAACCCGTTATCATCTCTAATTATATATAATTTTCTTACAAGTAATAGAATAATACTAGTAGAATGCAATTTTTTAATAAAATTTAAAATGCTAGTTGTTATATTTTGATAGTCATGTCATCGACTCTTTATTTTATATATATATATATATATATGACATACACTTAATTTTAAAACAAACATGTCACTTACAATAAAAGATCAATGTTTGACTCATAAAATATAAAAAAAAACTTGATAAAATCTCAAATTTTTAATTTCAACACCTTTTTTATTTTCTTCTCTCTAATGGATTTGACAGTTTCTTCAAATCAGTTTTTAGCAAATTTTGGTTCAATCATACTCAAAAGTACATCAACACAAGTTTTATCTTTAAACAAAAAATAATAATTTATATTTTATGTTATATAAAATATTATATTTATATTATATTTTATATAAAAATTATATATTATAATTTATATTAATATAAAAATATAAAATATATACTTTTAATTTTATCAAATTTGTTTATGATTTTTATTAAAATTTTAAATTATATTATTTTTATATCATATTATTTTATTGTATTTTAAATTATCGTACTTTTAAAATTTTTAATGATCTAATTCTTTAAGAGAGGAAAAAAGTTTATAATATGACATTTTCTTTCTGCTAAAGAACAATTATAGAAATAATTGGGTCATCAAAGATGGTCCAAGAGCCAAGCCTATTAGTTTTAAGATTTTCGTTGGCTTTAGTAAAGTAAACAAGTGATAAAGTCAACGAAGACCTTTCGTTTCCGTGGTGCCAACGAATAAAGCTAGGCTGCTGCGACGACACATTCCCAACATGGGAACGGAATGGATGGTGGATCCCACATATCTCATAACTGGGGACCAAAATTTGTCCTACGTGTCATAACGATTGCCGACGTGGCATACTTTACCACTTTTCTCCCGTCCCTGAAAGACACTGTTTGGTAGAAAGAGTAAAAGAAGGAAAGAGAGGAAATAAACAGATCAGACTCAGTCTCTCAGTAGAAATCTTGAAACGTTTGCCCTTTCCATTCTTTACTTCGAAACCATCTCATCCGATCTGATCATCCGTGTTTCATTGAAGCGACGCCGTGGCGTAAGAAGGAATGGGAGTGATGGACGTTGAAGGAGGAATCGCGAGAAAGTTATGGACCAAATTTAGGAGCGAATCGGTTTTTGTGAATTACATTCCTTTCTTCGTTTGCTTAGCCGCCGGCAATTTAAACGCTGACGTTTTTCTACACTATACCTCTCAACATGTTCATTTACTCAATGCTTTTGCTCACGAGTGAGAGTCCTTCGAATCAGTCTTTTCCAATTTGCAAAAAAAGCTTAATCAATACGCTAAATATTTTTGCACTATTTTTTTCCTTTTACTAATTATTTATTTATTTATTTGGGAATTTTCAGATATGAATTAGTGGAGGAGTGTGCAGATGATGTGGGAGACAAAGGCGATACGAAAGTTATGGAAACATGTTCAGGACAAGCTTAAGTCACACGACTCTCTTGTCCGAGCAGGTTATATTTTTCTCTTGTTTATTAGCAGTCATGATATTACATACGAAGTGGTTTTGATTATTACCTTATACATCATTGGTGGTGAAGTGGGTTTGATTAATTGGCACATTATCTTTAATTGTATACGTACACTTAAGTAATTCAATTTTGACTTCCTTATATTTTAACGGACATGTTGCAAGCACATAAATTCGCTTGTGGAGTGTTTTTTTTTTTTTTTTTTTATGTAAAGATGCCGGTGGAGTTTTTAAACTCTAGGAGCGGTGTATTAGATAGTAATCCTCTGCCTAAATACCACACTACCTCAGCTGAGATCCTCCATTGTAGGATTTAGTAATTTAAGAGTAGATTTTGGATTGGCTTATTCTTGTTCAGCCTAGTGACCATTTGGGCAGACAGATATGTAACTACAATGTCCGTGGCTTCTTCATTTCATGTGCCTAGTGGTGGTTGCTTTAAGTATCTATTCTGATGAAGACCTGTACTGCAGGAATGGGGCTTTGAACTCCCAGACGAGAGCACCTGGACAAATGCTACAGTCAAGTATACGGATTTTCTGTTGGCAACAGCCTCGGGTAGAATTGAAGGAGAAAAAGTTCCTGGTAAAATTGCAACCCGTTTTGAGAGGACAAAAGTTGCTGCTTATACACTTGGCGCCATTGCACCTTGCATGAGGCTCTTCGCCTTTATAAATAAAGAGATTCAAGCTCTTATAGATCCTAATGATAGCAGTCACATTTACAAGAAGTGGATTGATCACTATTGCTCTCAAAATTTTGAGGGTCATCTGATTATTGATTACTAAGTTTTTTCTGTGGTGTTTTATTGATACTTTTGCTGTTCAAACAAGAATACTTGTTTGGGTTGTTAGGAAATGTATTTCACTTTGCTCAATTCTGATTTCAGGCTTATGCTTTTCGAATTGAAGAGTTGCTGGATACGCTAAGCATATCTTTGACAAGCGAAGAGCTGGATGTCATAGAAAGGCTCTACCATCAATCTATGAGACTGGAAGTAGATTTTTTCTCTTCTCAACCGATTATGCAGGAAGCAGCAGTCTCTTTGTCTCGGACGCTAGATCCTGCTGTGGGTGGCCACCTCACCATATTTTGTGACTTTGACTTGACTTGCACTGCTTTTGATTCCTCTGCTATTTTAGCCGAGATTGCAATCAGAACAATGCAGAAGGCTGCCCCTGATGGGTCCAAAACCCAACTTGCTCAGATGTCATCAGCTGATTTGAGGAGTGCATGGGATGCTCTTTCTACCCCGTATACTGAAGAGTTTGTACAGTGTGTAGAAAGCATCACATCAACTGAGAAAGGTTTGATAAAGGATTTGCAGTCTTCTTGATTTTTATATCTTGTTATATTAGGAATGGTTGTGGCAACAATTTTTCATGACTTAATGTTATTGAGATGAAATATTGGTAGAAGTAATGCACCTTTTTTCCCTACTTGTGCAGTGAAAAGTTTCAGTTATGAAGGTGTGTGTGAAGCCCTAGAGCTATTTGCAAATTTTGAGAAGAAGGCAAATTCAAGAGTGGTTCAGTTAGGAGTACTTAAGGGTTTAAATCAAGAGGATATAAGAAGCGCAGGCCAAGGTCTGATCCTTCAAGATGCCTGTAAAGGGTTTTTTCAGAAAATCATGAAAAATGAAAATGTCACCTCTGCTGTACATATACTCTCTTATTGTTGGTGTGGGGATCTCATTCGTTCAGCTTTTTCATCAGGTAATCCCAGGAACATAGACAAGCCATGCTATTTTGGTACATACACATACAAAAACACACCCGAAATAAATTTAATAATTTGATCGTAATCTGAAAATGTGGATAAAAGATCTAGAGTCTAGAGTCTAAACATAACATACAGGATGACTAGATATATCCTTCACTCAATTGTTAGAGAAATTGGAAGCCAAATTGGGATTTTGGATGTAGCATATATTATGCGATATAATTTATCAGGAATATATCCAAAGTATGCTGATTGTTTATTATGCTTCCATGCTATCTATAATAGTTAGGACTTGGATTACTTCAATACAAAGACCATCAGTTGCTAAATTAATATGTGTTCGAAATTTTTAATGTTTTTATCGCCTGGTATATCACTTAGCAGGGGATCCAAGAGCTTTGAATGTGCATTCAAACGAGTTAGCTTGTGATGAGTCCATCACCACAGGGGAGATCATTAAGAAGTTAGAGTCTCCCATGGAAAAGCTTCAAGAATTTAATAACATATTAAACAACAGAGACAAAGATTGCCAAAACTTGACAGTTTATATTGGAGGTTCAGTTGGTGATTTACTCTGCTTGCTTGAAGCAGACATAGGTATTGTGATGGGGTCAAGTCCCACTCTTAGAAGACTGGGAGAACAGTTTGGCGTTCCTTTTATGCTATTGTTCTCGGGTTTGGTAGCGAAACAGAGAGAGGTGGTTGAAGTTGGCTCTTCTAATTGGAAAAAGCTTTCTGGCACTTTATATATGGTCTTAGCTGGGATGAGATACATGCATTTATTCTGGGTTCATGATCATAAAACCCGCTCTCCATTTCCTGTAGGATAATAGAATCTCAATTGTGGCTATTTTTTTTCAAGCGCCACAGGCCAGCCCTGATTCTGTTTTTTTGCTTTTGAGACCGCTATACCGAAATGATCCAAACCCAATGAGCTCACAGGTACAATCTAAACCGTTCGATCCACGCCAAGCATCTCGAGGGAGATAGGCAGGGTGGCCCCTCGTCACGAAGGTCGGGTGCGGGAGAATGTCACGGACCTAAGGAAGAGTTCTGAATCTCACATCGAACATAATAAAAGGGCCACATCGAACATAATAAAAGGGTCACTGAGGTATAAAAGGGTTCACACTACCTCAACCTTGTGAGACCGTCTATAAGTACTTATAAATCCCCTAACACTAAACCGAAACCCAACACAACCAAAACCAATAAGCTGCCTACAAAAAGGGAAAGGGATACAGGAGAAAAAAGGGGTTGTGTATGTGGTGTGGAGCTAAATTTGTAACTAGTCATAGGTGCATGAGATCGCAACTATAGCAGTTATTAGTGGATAAAGGTATGGAGCAGACTAATGAGTAAGAGGAGTTCTCTGACTGTCTAAAAGCTCTAGAGAAAGCGAATACTGAAATGGCTGAAATGGTAAATCGACCATTATCTCTTTGCATGCCTTGATCGGTACAACTGGTCCTCAAACTATAAGGATTCAAGGGAAGATAAAAAATCAATCAGTGGAGATATTGGTAGACTCGGGCCAGTACTTACAACTTCTTGGATTTAACTGTTGTTAAGAGGTTGGGTTGCAAAGCTGCTGCAGTGGAAGGAATCAATGTCACTGTAGCTAATGGCAATCAACTATTGATTAGACAATTGTGTAAATAGGAGGGTTATTGGGGTATAAAAGTGTTCACACTACCTCAATCTTGTGAGGCGTTTTTTGTAGGACAAAACCGTGAAGCCGGTAGGCCAGAGCGGACAATACCTCACAAGAGTATGAACCGTGGCAGAAAGACTGATCTGAGACGTCGGAAGGGTGAATGTCCGGGTCGCGGAATCGCACGGGTTCGAAGCTTAAGTCTCGACTCATGACACTCACAGGTAAAATTATGTAGTTACTGAAAAAAGTTCGTGTTATCCAGTGTTTTCCCCTCTAGCTCCACTCAGTTTTCTTTTTGAGTTGCATTTAGGCAAACTACATTCGAATTTGTTGTAATATCGAGATAAATTTTCTTTACAACAATCAACAGGAATGTATAATTTGTTATGTTATCAGTTCTTTTAGTCGTTCTTCTGCATATTTATTGTTGAATGTTTCTCAAATTCTTCCAACCAATGCTCCCAATTAGCATAGCTTATGGTATGCAATGGATGAAAATTTCCAGTTTGGCAAAAAGAAGTGACAAAAAAGAACTGCAGAAGTTACAGACAAAAACAACAAACTTGCCATTGATCCATAAGGAAAGGCACTCTCATTTTTAGGTCCCAAAATTTTTTTAAAAATACAGTAAAATAGCAGTGTTATTTACAGCAACCAAAAAAACAAAAAAGCAATTAATAGGCATTTCTGTATATATTACATTGAAAACTAAGCTATAGGTGCCTGTCAAAAAGTATGATGACTGTTCCTCAAAGACTGTATTTGAGATTGAAGAAAACATGTAATAAAATAATACAACAACCGAACACATACAGAGAACCACAGAGGTTCAAACGTTAGTCAGTCAAAATGCTTTAACTATTCTGTATTTCTTTTCCGCTTTGGGTGTTGCTACTAGCATGAGCTATTCATCTTATTGTTGGCTTGAGAGAATAATATTCTAGATGGGCTTGCTTCTTTGTCTCTGGTTCCTCTCTTGCAATTTTGGAGCTGCAAATTATGAATTAAACTAACCTTAGATACGAATCGAAAAGCAACATAAACAAGATCAGAAGAGTATGGATCTGCATACCCAATCCGGTAGCCTCAGATGTCCTCGTGATTCTAAGCCTCTTCACAGAACTGAGAAACATCCTGAACCAAACCAGAGAACATTCAATGAGTGTCAAGAGAAGACAAATTTCAATCCATAATACAAGTTTTGCTTTAGCATCTTCATGTTGTTCACTTTGTTCCATGAAGCTCTAAGTCTCCCTGACTGAAGCCCACCCTTACAAGCCAGACAAGATGACCGCCATGATAATATAAAGCAATTTTTTGAGGCAATGTATTAACTTCAGGGGCACTAGAGGAAAGGCACATGCATTAAGATTTTAAGATTTTCCTTGAACTCTTCCCAACTTTTATTCTGAACTAATTTGACAGTTTATGTCAAAAACTTGTTAATAATGACAACATACATCTTATAAATGTACCTAACAAAGCTTAAAAGAGAATGAACTTTAATAGTTTTAAAAAATTTTATACATATATATGCAGTGAAACTCTTGGACCAGGCAATTAAAACAGAAGTTCGTTTTAAAAATGTCATGCGAGCGAGGGCATAGAAACAATTATGATGTAAAGTGACACATATAATTGATATTGATACATACTCCCAAGGAACATCTCCAACAAGCATCCAATCACCCTCTTTGTCCTCATAAGTAAGCACAAAATCAGATGATCCATCAAGCAGTTTTGAAGGTCTTATTATTTCCTTCTTCATATCATGCTCCAGCGCCATTGATCCTAACCACAAAAATCATGATAACATTCATAAAAGAGAAACATGTTTCGATGATCATTTAACAAAAAGATATAGTCTTTCACCTTGTCTGAATCAGGACATTCTTTATGGTGGAATTTTAAAGGCTTTCAATCTCAGATCCTCCTATAATTCCATTAGGTTTAACATTTCTTTGCTTAAAAGGTCTAAAAGTTACCAGACTAATATTTTCTATTTTGACACAATGTTTGAAAAAACACAAGGGATGCTTGCCAAATTTGCTTGGCATGACAACTCATGTTTTAAATACGCCATGAAAGTCTTAAGCACACAATCATTTTGGTTAAATTCCATATATCAGTTAAGACGTGGTCATCGTATAGCTTAGGATATCCTTACAACCAGTACTTAACAGGGCACTTAACTCATCTTTTGAAAGTCAAACAAAAAAGAAAAAAAAAAAGGGAAATCTCACCTACTGGATTGACAGGTCTGAGAAACATATCTTCCAAAGTTTTTGCCAGCTTTTCATAGGATTCATGGGCATTCAAGTCAACCTTCCTTCCAATCAGAATTCCATCCATATTCACCTTCACCAACAGGGATTTTCTGAGCTTAGCATTACCACTGTTCTCATAGCTGCCAATTGTACTCTTCTCAACCATAGAGGTTTCATTTTTATGGTTCTCCATTGTTGAGTTAAATACATCAGTGGCCAGCACTTTTGCTTGGTTAACCATGCTATTCATTCTACAAGGTTTGAGAGGAGGCCACCCCACGACTTGACTGTTCAAATTCAAGGAAAAATAACAGATGTTAACAGGCGAAAAATCAGCTAAGAAAAGGTTACATTCAACCACCCAAACTCAATAGCATGTAAAAAGAAAGAAAAGTTCTCAGCTACTCATGAAGTACCAAAAAGGATATAACAAAAAAAGAATTGTACATATTAAAACTGTCTTTATGGCCTGGATTGTGCCTTGACTCAGATGTAGCCTAGTTAATAAGGCACCACAAATACAGGTTTCCATGTGAACCGGTGTATTACTTATTCCTGGTATCATGTCACTTTTGTACCAAACAGTTTTCCTCCTTTGGTTGGGGGAGATTTCCTATTTTCTGCTTTACCTAGTTAGCAGAAAGAGGGGCAGAAAGAGAGAAGCAATCATCTGATCCTGAGATAATTATTAATATTACCAAGCAAACAGGGACATATATTGAATTTGGAATTGAAGATCAGGACCGTTTGATCTATAAGCATTTACGTCTTAGAAGAAAGTAGAAGCACCAATCATTTTGCTTGCAGCCAACATGATCCATCTTAAAAAGGGTGGAAGCATCCCAAATTCATACCTAATCCTCAACAACCTAACAATAAAGTTGTCTCCCGTGCCATCCCCTTTCTGAATGAATAATCAAGCAAGAAATATCTTTGTAATTGTAGTCTATGGACAACATAAGTACATTCAACCTCCTATGTTTTATTTCGTGCCTAATTGGAGGATTCTAGTTTTCTTTCCTTTCTTAATTCTCTTCCTCCTGATCTTGTATTTATTGTACCAAAGTTCTGTAATTGATGATACCATACCTTATGACGGGAACTAAGTGCTATAACAGAATTAAAAGAGCAGATAAATTTCAGAAAAAAATACCAATTAGAACCAAGAACATAAACATATTCAGGACATAAAATTCATGGCAGTGACATAATAAGGTAATTACATGGAATTACAAATCAGGCTGAAATTAGAGAATACCTAGAGCCTTTACCCACAGCCATAGAATCAGCAGTCCTCTTGGTTCCAGCTGTGATATTAGCTCTACTTAAAGAAGGAGAAGAAGATGAGGAAGATGATTGAGAAGGAGATGAAGAAGCAGCCACAGAAACCACAGAAGAGAAATCCTTGGCAGTCAAGATCCTAGCATGTTGCCCAGCCCTTGAAACTTGATGCATCTTAAAACCACCACCAAGACTCAAGCCAAGACCCAACTCCAACTCAGACCCATCAGGGCATGAAGAATCCTCTGAGGACACCACCAAGTTGTCCTCCCTTGACACTGTAGACATTGACCCACTTTCAGAACCACCACCACCACCAATAACAACACCTCCTTGCATTGAAAATTAAACCTCCTTCGTTCAACCAAAGTTTCAAGCTTTACAAGTCTAAAAGAGAAGAGGAGATCATTTAAAAATAAAGTTTCTAACTTTATAGGCAGAGAGAAATGGGCAAAAAGCAAAGAAAGAAAGGGGACAAAGATGGATATATTAGAAGGGTGTTTGGTGGGTATTGGAAAACTAGAAAGTAAACTCAAAGTAGGGAGAGGGGGAAAAAGGAAACGTTAGGTTGGGAAGGTATTGGGTACAGCCGTGGTGGTGCTGCTGTTTCCCTTGATGAGTTGGGCCCCTACCTTGTCTGGTTTTATCATTCATCCCCCTCCATCAATGTTTTTTGTCCTTTCAGATCCAAATCTTCTTTTTAAATTTTTTTTTTTTTCATTTTCACTTTGATTTTGCCACCCTTTTGCTTTGCTTGCTTTCTAGGCCTTCATTTTTCTTTTCTTCATATGATATATATATATATATATATATATCTTCAATTTACTGGCAACAGAAAAAAAAAGAGTTGAGTTTTTTTTTTTATAATGTATCTCCTGAGAAACTCCTTTAAAAGCAAAAATACAAAACACATGAAAAATGCTAATAAATGATTCTACCCTTTGTTGCCATTGTTATGTTATTTTTAGAAACATTCTTGGAAAATGAGAACTGCCAATGCTGTTTACAAATAAATGTTTGGATAAGATTAGCAAAATACCAAAACTAAACTAATTAAATTATGACGTTTCCTTTTTTTTTTAACTTGTAAATGTAAGACTGATACCACAATTATTTGCTTAGCTAAAAATTCAATCTTTTTATCAGACAAGGGGATATTATAAAAACTCTGATAGTAAATATCATTTAAAAAAAAACCAAAGCACCAAATTAATACAAAGTAACAAATTTCATATAAGGGAAAACACAAATACTTAATTTGCAATTATTAAATAATATATATTTATGTCATATAAAATATTATAATTCATATATTTATATTATATTTTATATAAAAATTATATTTTATAATTTATATCTATATAAAATTATTAAATATAATTTTTTTATTTTATTAAATTTATATATAATTATTATAATTTTAAATTATATTATTTTTATATTTTATATTTTATTATATTTATATTATATTATTGTATTATATTTTAAATTATTAAATAATTTAAATTCATATACAAATATTATACATCTCAAAAAAAAAATAGCATCACAAAGTTGAAAAGCAAGAAAAAAAAAAGCAATAGACAAAAGGAATCGATTGAATATATTAGTAGTCCTTTCTTAATTTTAAAATTAAAAAAAATAAAATTTACATAAACCCGTCAGATCCAAAATATCTTCATCTCATATCACGAGAAATGAAAAGGACAAAGTCTAGAGTCATGGATGGGCATCGAGGAGATGGGTCTAGGAAAGGCGCCCAACAACAAGCCGACAAGGTGGGCCCAAACATCACAAGGCTCGACACGTCGGAATCGGGAACCCACCGTATTAATCACGACAACATAGGGGCCATCCAAAAAAACCTCCTCAAACTCGGTCTCAAAACAACGCACACCGATTTTGAATGAAAAAACATGACACCTCATCATATCATTAACCTAGACTGTTATTATTACATTTATATTGAAACACATTTTTATTAATTAATTTTAATATGATCGTAATAGACTGTATTTAAAGATAAATATATTTATAATTTGATTTTAATTAAATTAATTGATTGAATTAATTTAATTTTATTAATTATTAAATTAATTTTGATCAATTAATAAAAATAATTTTAAAAAATTTTTAATTTTTGATTAATTCAATTTATAAATTGAATTAATCGAATTATTTGAAATTTTAATCAAAATTAACATAATTTAAATATAAAATGAAAAATATATAAAGAGAATTATTTAATTTTATAAGTAGTAAAATTTTTAACATAATATTTTAGCATTTAAATATTTTATTAGATAATTTTCTTTAATTTGTTTAAAATTTAAGAAATTAAGAGTTTAAAATATAATTTAATTTAAATATATTTATCATTTAATTAATCAAAAAAATTAATCTAAATTCAATTGATTAATTTTTAAAATTATAAATTTAATTCGATTAATAAAAATAAATAATATAATTCAATTAATATAATTTTAAATAATTTGATTAGAAATTAATAGAATTAATTGAATAAGTATTTTTATTTAAAAAAATTAATTATCATAAAAAAATTTATTATCATTATTATATTTATATTTATATTTTTTATTAATTTTATTATTATTTATTTTTTAATCTCGTTGTAATTCAAATGTAAATGGGCTCTTAATTTTATTAGCGAGGTTTCAATTCCGATTAATAGAACGTTTTGAGGCACGAAATAAAATTAAAAAAATAAAAACGAAACGCGCAATCAGAAGCACTTTGTTTTTCTGTTCGTTTGATTTGAGGGATTGAGTCATACTTTTTGTCAGTTTGAAAGCGTACGATCCTGTCTGGGGGCCAGCGGACAAAGTCCACGCTTGCCTATATTTTTTTGTCGTCTTTCTTTTTTTACTGTAATTGTCGGTCCCAAGTGTAGAACCGTGGGACCCAACAGAATCGTTATGTGTTTCCACGCCTATCCTGCTGGTTAGCTGACACGTGACGGATTTAGTTCTGTGATCGTGACACCTGTGCTCATTATTTAATTGTAGGGTGAAGTATTGATGAAGGTGGTTTCTGTCATTATGAAAATGACGTCGATTTTTGTTTAAGATGACGTCAATAAATGGTTAATTTATGTTCACAAATGACCGTAAATTTTATATAATTGATAATTTAAGAATGAATTTTGGTGCTATTACAACATTAAAAATAATAAATATATAATATAGTTAATAATCATATTCATAATTCAAGAATGAAATTTAGTACTATTGCAACATTAAAAATATAATAAGATAATAATATTTAATAATCATATTCTATAAATAAATATTTCACATTGGTGCATTATAAGATTTTTTTTTTTAAATTACAGCCTTACAATAAAAAAAAATTATAAATGTTGAGAATTATGGGAACAACATCATAATAATTCTATCTCTATATAATTTAAATAAAATCTTCAAAACTCTAATGCATTTTCATGATACTACTTAAAACTTGAAAATATATACAAGAACGACAAACATATAAATCATAATAGCTGTAATTTGCTTATAATTTATTACTTGTTGCAATAAGAACATAAATGATTATAAATAAAATTGATGATTCATGTATGTATATTATATAAAATATTAAAATTTATATATTTATATAATATTTTATATAAAAATTACACGTCATAATTTACATCGATATAAAAATATTAAATATATTTTTTAAAATTTTGTTAAATTCATATATAACTATTACTAAAATTTTAAACTTTATTACTTTATTATTTTTTTTTTATATCTATCATTTTATCGTATTTTAAATTATTAGTCGCAGATGAAAAAAACAACACTCCATTGAGATCCGAAACTACCACAAAACTAGCCTCTTTCATCGCCTACCCAATTATTCTTCTCCTTAGGGCCGGTAGGGCCTTCCTCTCCATACAGCTCAACCGGAAGCTTATCGAAAATGTTCTCCACCGAATATCGGAGCATCACGGGCAAAATGTTAATAATTTTATCCAGTTTAGTTCTAGAATCATAGACAATAGTTGGACCCCATTCTCTCATAAACTGCAACCAAGCAGGCTCAGTAACAACCCCATCTCCCAGATACTCAGCTGCAACAAGTTCGAAATGAGTACTAGAATTTACGTAGAAATTACTAATAGCAGCGTCGTTTCTAATCCCAATTCCTAGTTTTGCAGAACCCTGAATGTAATTCCCAGGGTGAGGAAAGTTGGCATGTCCACGTTTTGATGAGTAAACAACCGCTTTATTCCCTTGTATGTACTCCAAATCATAAGCATTCACCCATACACCACCACTGTGCTGGGAGAAGTATATGCTCCATAGCTCTCCTGTAAAGTTGCATATACGGAGAGTAAAATGTTCCCAATCACCCACATGCTGTCCAATCTTGTTAAGTGCAATATTCAAAATACCAACCTGAAGAGTTGCAGGCCCATTAAAGGGGAAGAAAATCCACATAGCAATATCAGTGAAAGTCCCACCAGCTGCTGGCTTCACATGTACATAAAGTTTAGCACTTTCCAAATTTCCTAGTTTGATACTATTTTTCCGATCACCACTTGGTAAGTCTATCCAAAATTCCCCATCATTTCTTCCGCCACTTGGTAGATTTGAGCCACTAACATCAATTGGCTCACCTACCAAGTCCCCTTCTTTGAACAGAAGTGCTCCATTCTTGAAAAACCATGAAACAGAAGAAGGAAAGTAGATCTCGTCAGGATGAAAGAAGACAGTAGGTCCATAGTGGTTTGTCAGGGCATGAATCTGATCACAGTTTGGCATTGCCTGTAGCGCTGGATCTAAATTCTTCAAGCATGCGATAGGCAGTTCTTGTCCAGGATTCCAATAGCTATTGCAAATAAAACTCCCCACATAAACGCCTCTCCCCAGCATCCCTCGATGAGAAGGTCTTGTGCTCCAAACTTGAAACGGAACTTCTGAAAATCTGGTATTGGAATTAAGTATAACTCGAAAATTTTCACATCTATCTGTCAGGTCAGCTCTAACACATCTCACTTTATCTAATTTGGGTTTTTTAGAAGAGTTAGTGACCAAATAACCCATGGATTTATAACCCTTAGGAGGCTGAGGCAACCAGAAGAAACCACAGCCTTCAAGACTTTCCTCACTCCCATCATTCGAACTCCAAACTAAAGAATAATCAAGAGGCTCCCTAAGGGCGGGTGAGGTAACACAGGTAGAGAAATCAGAAGCTTCCGATTCAGAACGCATTTCTCGAGCAACAAGAACAAAACCTCTTAAAGGCTGGTCATTAGATTGACAGTAGTGCCCAAAGCTATAATATCCATCAGGTATTCCAACTGGTTTATAAAACGTGACACCTTTTTTCTTGTCCTCTAAGTTGCTGCACCAGATGAACTTAAATCTTGAGATTTTAATGACTTCGAGTTCCCCAAGATTTATTTTTCCAGAAGCAAATCCTTGACCTGAAATGGAGGCATACGATTAAACATTTACACGATATGTCAAATTCAAAAGGATAACAAAAGACTGAACCACATCAGCCCAAGTGAACTTTTGACTTAAATAGCAAAGTCTTCTCACATTTTATTTTATCAGCGTCTACTCTGGACTATGCAGCATTTAAACATCACATCAACACTGAAATTCAATAATGGATCCTTAAAATATATGTAGCTGACATGCTAAAAGAAAGAGAGTCAAGTCAATGATGAAACAAAGAAACGCTACTCAAACATAAGAGGAAAGTTCAAAAATAATTGTGGAAAAACTTTTTTTTATATTTGGGGTAAGGGCGATTTGAACTCTGCTCTTTGAGTAGAGGATCATGCAACAACCAATGAGCCAGTTGCTTGAGTGCGTGGAAAAGCAATTTGATGATCATATTTGTTTACTTTTAAAGTAATAGAAAGAAGAGAAGCCACTGGAGTAACAATCACACAATATAAGATAATCTTAAAAAAGAAAAAGAAGACAATAATGAATCAGGATTCCAAAAGTCAGGATATTTTATATACAGACACAATTCATTCAAGATCAGCCTCTTAAAATAGAAATAAATGAAAATAAAATAAAAGCAACTGATAAAGACAAGGAAAAGTACCAAAATAACAAATGAAACAGTTCCTGGAGATCAGATTTGCTCTTATTCAACCACAATTGAAAGAATAATCAGAGTAGAATATTAGTGGTCTTGTCAGCATAAGCTACAAAGAATTAATTGGCGCAAAAAGATTTGTTTCTGCACCAAAATATAAAACATTTTATTACTTCTTAGACTACACAGGTTTTATATCTGGGTTTTTTTAGTCACTAGCTTTGCTTACTTTTTCTGCAACAATTCTAAAGAGACTAGAAGTCATTTATGCTTTTCCTGCTCTTGATCAAAAGACGCACGGTTTGAGACTATTTCAGCCTCTCAGATACAACGATCAGTAGAGGGTCCGGATGCAGAGTCCTACAGGGCTAAAATTCTTTCAAAGCTGTGGTTCGCAAGATTTCTTGGTCTCAAAAAACTTTTACCATTTGAAAGAACTGGAGAAGCATAAGAACAGAATCCCTTGGTAGAGCTGGATCCTAAATGAAGATGTCTTGGGGTGCTAATATCATTAGAACAAAACTCAATTGCCTTTTAAATGCAGTAAATTAGCCTATAAACAGACTACCTTGGTAGAGCTGGATCCTAAATGAAGATGTCTTAGGGTGCTGATATTTTCGTTCTTTGAGAAGTTTCTCTGACTTTTTCGTTTGTTTTGGCATTTCAATCTTGTTCTTGGCTGTAATTTTCTAGTTTTTGCTTCTATTTTTGCATCTCCTTTTACTTACCCTAGCAAATTTACTCCTGCTTTCTTTAAATGAATCAGATCATTCAAGTATTTAAAAAAAAAAAAAAACCTATAAATGACCGCCAAACAATACTCAAAATTCCCAAGTACAAGCTGAATTTTGCATTCATTCTAGAAGCGAAAACAATATCCCACCTTTGCAGCTTCCAACTGATCAACAGTACCATCTACTCACATAAAATTGGTAAATTTCCGAAAATAAATGTAAGGAACCTGTTTTAGGTCAACTTTTTTTTTTGTTAATTCTAGTTCTTCATTCTTATTGTAAGTAAAACATCAGGCCATGAATCACCCATCAATCAGAAAGGAACAAAAAAAAAAGAAAAGCAAAGTAAGAGGAAAAAAATTTTGAAAAAATGCAGACAACCAAAAGGACAACTTGAGCCCAGAAATCCAATCAACCAAAAAAAAAAGAAGCAAACCCATTAATAAAATACACGAAGCGAAGGAAACCCAAAATTCAAAATGCAAAATTGTTTTGAAATCAAAATTGCAATACCTTGAGGCCATTGAGGAAGAGGGGCTGGAAGCGAGAAGGCTTCAGGCTCTGAAGGCACCAATTGGTCCATTTTGTTCCAGTAGAAACATTTGCACCCAAACATTTCTCAATCGATCTCAACAAGCTCTGCAAATTGAAATTTTTGATGCTACTCTAAGTTTGCTGCTAAACTCCAAACTCGTTGGCATTATCGGATATTCTCAAATTCTTTAGGAAGTGAGATCGAATGTCAACTTTCGTGGGTCCCCTTCATTCATTCTTTCTGAGTTTTTTCCCTTTTATTAAAAAAAAAAACCTGTGGGTTTGCTTTTTCTTTTCATTTTGAAATTTTAGTTACATATTTAATTATTTTTATATTTTTTACAAATGAGACCGCTTGAAAACCATTGTCAAAATTTAAATTATTTTATAAAAATTATGAGTAATTTGATTGTGAAAATTTTGTTTATGATTGAGAGTGAAGGTCAATCAAGCTATCCCTCTCACTCAATAATAAATATACTACATTTAACATTTTTTTTTTACTTTATAAAACAATCCATTTTCTTATTGAACATTCATCACAAGGTTCTCTCAAATATTGCCTAAATGGTTACCAGGAGTTTTTTTTTTTTAGTAATAAATCATTAATTCTATATTTAATTTTGAGTAAAAATTATTCCAGTCATGTAAGTTTTATATTTTTTTAATTTTTATCAAAATTAAATTCATAGCTAATTTAAATTAAAATAATATTTTTCATTTTTATCATTTTGATTTAATTTTATTATGATGTGCTATCTATATGCTCAAACAAAAAAAAAAAAACGATAAACAACTGAATTATGGGTATTATGCAGTGATGATTAGCTGTCCGACAGCAGAATATTCCAAACAAAACCTTTTCTGCCACGTGTCCGGTAACGAATCAGAGTAAAGACCTGAAATGCCACGTGTCCAACATTAAGGTTACTTGGCCTCTTTGGGTCGACCAGTTGAATTTTCAATGTGGAAGTATTAATATGAACTTTTGTTTTTATTTTAACAAATTCAAAGACTTAAAAAAGAGAACAACTTGATATTTTTCTCCTCTATCATATCAAAGCTCTCTCTCCCGCACAAATGATTATTAATTTTCTAGGAAAAAAATGTTTTTTTCTAACTAATCAAACAGGAAAGTGCATGTTCATTTCCTATTTTACTTCTCTTATAAAAGGAGGGAGGCCTGGAGCTGTAAAGGAAATCTTTCTTTATTCTTACAACTCAAAAGGGTATGTTTCTTTTCCATTTTTAACTGCATTATCATATGCTTTTTATAGAATTCTTAAGCAAAAAAATGAGGTACTTCATTCCTAAAATTATATTGCAAAAATAAACTTTTGAGCTTTGATTGTTTGAATAGATACAACTTCTGATCAAAAGTGAGAGACTTGAAAGGTAATATATTTGTTTTTGTGCCTTCCAGGAACTGAACCAGCTGCCAATGCTTGAAATGCTCTGCATATTTCACAATCTGTTACAGAATTTCTATTTAAATGCTTACCAATTTCTGTCACTTTCTTCGAACAAAAGAAAAAAGCAACATTTCCTCTCTTTTATTGGAGCAAAATTTTCCTTTTTCCCAAAAGAAAAAAGTGGAATTAAGAAATAACAAGACCACAAATCCAAATAAGAATCTTGCTTGTTAGGAATTTATTTTCCTCATTAATGGGGTAATGCAAACAAACTTCCAAATCCTATTATTAGATTGGCTAATAATAGATATCTTTCCCAAGACTAAAGATATTGATTTTCAATTCGAACTTAAAATTTAATTCAATTAATTTATATATGTAATTATTTTTAAAAAATAATATTCGAATTTTATTAACTGTAATTGTTTGACACCTTTTTTGTATAATATATATATATATATATATATTTGTCAATTCATTTTGGCTTGTTCTTAGAGAAGATATTTCAGCTGCTTACCTGACTACCTCTTTATTAATTTGTTCATAGAATTTGACATCCGAAACCAGCAACAGCAACCACAAAAGCACCATCAACAGAAAAGAAACAGAGAAAAGAAAAAAAAAAATGCTGCTAAGAAGCTCTTCAACTCCAGTTCTTGGATCACTCCTCTCTTCCATTACAGATAGTCCTAACAACATCAATCACTATGAAACCAGCAATCCCTTCAGGCATTGTCCATCGACCTTCTTTCACCACAACCACAGCAGATTCTCATTTCCTCCTTCTCCAGGCTCTGTCCACTTCTCTACTATAGTTTCTTGCGGCTCCTCTCTTATGTCTCCCTCTGTTGTTGATCAATTATTCTCTAATTTTGATCGTCAAGGCTTTCGCCGGGCTCAGTCTGAAGGAAACTTGGAAGGACTCGTCCATGCTGCTTGTGATAGCAATGAAGAATTCTACAATCAGAAACAACCCAAGAAGCTTTCTGCAAGGCACAAGTGCTCAATGTTGCAAACCATCCCTTCCTTTTCCCTTTACAATTCGAGGGCGAAGTGTGAGGAAGAAGAAGAAGAAGAAGAAGAAGAAGACGAGACTGCTTTCCAAGAAGAGGAAGAGGAGTTGAAGGAAAATGGAGAACTGCTGGACAGTAGTGAAGAGAGTGTAATGACTGTGAATGGTAGCCATGAATTCAACGCAATCAGCGTGGAGACTATTTTGTTGAATGATCAAGAGGTGAAAGTTGCTGATAAAATTTGGAATGTTGGTTTTGAAGATGACCGAGGGTTGGTCGGACAAGAAATGTTTCCTGACGGAGGGCTTGGCACTGATGGTGGTAGCAGGGGTGGTGCTAGTGGCGGCAGCGGTAGAGGTGGTGAATTGAATCCACCAGGCTCTGGCAGAGAAGGTGATGACAACCATGAAGTTGAGGAGTATTACAATAGGATTGTGGAGGAAAATCCTGGCAACCCCTTGTTTTTGGGGAACTATGCTAAATTTTTGTATCAGGTGAGTGCCTTTCACAAGGCGATTTTGATACTGTTATCCAACCCCGTTTGTTTTCAAGTTTTTGAGACGGGAAATTTGCTATTGCTGAGCATTGTCACGTTGTTTTGACAGTCAAAGAGAGACGTACAAGGAGCAGAAGAGTATTACTCTCGGGCCATCCTAGCAGACGCCAAAGAGGGTGAAACTGTCACAATATGCCAAGTTAGTGTGGGAGCTACATCATGATCAAGAAAGAGCTTCAAGCTATTTTGAACGAGCAGTTCAAGCATCTCCTCAAGATAGGTATGTGCTTCTTTCTTAACTTATTGAGTCATATGACTCCATTGCTGTTTCTTTCTATAATGTATGATTAAACTTGATTACCTGACTTGCTTTTTTTTTTTTTGTTTATCCTTTTTACAGCCATGTTCATGCAGCTTATGCTAGTTTCCTCTGGGAAACTGAGGAAGATGCAGATGAATGGGCGTCGGCTAACAACATTGATTCCATGCCCCCACAATTTCACGAAGGAACCTTGACAAGCGCTTAAACAACTAGCTCCTCGGAAACATTGCAGCAGTGCTCGGTAAGGGAGCATTCCATTAAAATTGTACATGTAATGGATAAATCAGTAACCTCTTTTCCCTTTGATTGAATCTGCTTAGTATTGCCAACCAAAGCTTGTAATTGAAATTGCTTCCATTTCAGAATCACAAAATCAACCATCATCACAATGCGTCAATGCCTCATTAATCATAAAACAGCTCAAGAACATAAAAAAAATCTCCACTCGAACTGCATAATAAAAAGCATTCAAGGGGAGAAACATATACCTATCAAACGAAATAAAATTAAAAATGTTCCCCAACACTCCTTTTATGTGGAATAACACACAAAAATGTAAAAGCATATATTCGGAAGTCACTGATGGAAAATGTTCAATGGGAACTACCAACCCTCAATCACCCCCAAGACTAAAGAAAACCCCATTGTGCAAAAAGTTGGGGAAGTTCAGCCAACTTGTATTCTGTTTCCCATGATGCTATCTTATCTAGAACCTCGCTGATAGAAACCATTGCCACTTGATCTGTAGTTACCAAATTCTTGGTTGTTTCCCCTACCCAAACTACGAGAACCAAAGCGACCTCTTGCGACCTCGAGTGGATAAGTACCCCTGCCTCTTCCCCTTCCTGATCAATTTGAATGCAGATTCATATCAACAGAGCAAAACTCTATCAAATTCATTTCAATAAAGAGAAAGTTGAATGCATTTCAATAAAGAGAAAGTTGAATGCCATGCCATTTTAAATTGAACAGTAACATATTAATCCAAATCATGTGTTCAATATAAAAATAAATGGTTTGCAAAAGCTGGAAGAATAGTTTTCTTTTCTTTGTTTTGGCCTAAGGAAGAAGAATATAATGCAGTCATAATAAGTTAGAGATGCTATTGAATCAATACTTGACGTTCATCAAGATTGTCAATTTTTTTATATAAAGTTGCCCACAAAGCACGTTATTTACAACAACATAATTGGAACAGTTTCACATGTCCATGCACACACAAAACCGCCTTGCTTGCCTAACAGTCTGTATTAGAACAAAAAGCCTAATGCAAACATTGACTACATCTGTTACTGGCCAGCACTAATCAGTCAAAGCAAAATAGATCTAAAACCAAAGCATCAGAATTATAAGGTTATCTTGGAAGCTGTTTACAAGCCAATTATGCTTAGAGATCCACACAGAGGATTATCTTAGAAATGCAAAATTTTAGTGAAACAAGATGTAAATTGAAGCACAAGAATTTAGCAACTCAAAAAAGTTTGTCAAGAGTGCTTTCGTAGATTTTGTGGATGTTCTGAAGGTAACCAAAAGGAGCAATTGTGAAAGCATGTCACCGAAAATATAGAAGGAAATTCTGGCAAGCATAAAACGAAACAGGAGTATTTATAAAGGCACATACTTCTACTGCTGCTATTTGGTCTGCGCTCCTCTATGTAGACTTGCCTTCCTGCCAACTGTATAGGAGATGCCTACAGAAGGAACAAACTTGATATTAGTGTCAAATATGAAAATAAGCCAAAATAAAAATGATAAAAGATTCAGCATGACAGTAAATATACAAATCCGCTATGAAAGCAAATTTATATATATAAAGAGTCCTTCATGCAATGAGAAAGCCATCAAGCTTTGACAGTTGATGATGCTATAAGTCAATTCTTTGTTTAAAAAAAACAATGGACAGCAGGTTTATTGCCTTTACCCTCCCCTCTCAAATCCCCTCTTTTTTCCTGTATTTCACTCAAGAAGCACTTTCATGGCTGTGCTAGTCATCTCCATCTCATCCAATGAGCAGCAGAATAAAAGCATCACAAAACTATACAGATTCAGCTTAAATTCAATCCAACAATATGAACAACTATGAACGATAAAACTAGAAAGTAATCATAAGGGTGCAATGCTAAAGACAGTTCATTGCTATAGTAAATTCAACATTACAGACAAACACAAGCCAAACAACTAGTTACAATAAATAATTCAACATTGGAGTTATTAGCAAGTAAAGAAAGAAAGTGAGCAGTTCTTAAAAATTCTCAAAAAATTAGAGTGAATAAATTAGATTCCATACTAAGCTAATAGCTACCATCCAACACATTCGGTTGAGGGAAACAGCACAAACAAAATGAAAATTCATACCTTGATTGCATTTTGAACAGCAAAAATGTCTTCAAACTCAACAAAAGCATAGCAAACACCAACAACATCCTGCATGCATCTAAAACTAATTTAGTTTCAAGTTTCTACACCAAAGATAATCAAGAAGGGCAATCAAGAAGGGAAGAAAAAGATACCACCTTGCGGTTCCGGATAAACACACCATCAGGCTTGATTCTGCCGAAATTCTTGAACTCCTGCTCAATCTCAGTAGCAGTAACAGTAGATGGCAAGTTTCTCACATAGACCGATTTGTATTCACCAGTATATTCACCTGAAAGAAAGGATGAACATCAATAATCAGATTGCAAACCTGCAGTACTATAAGCATTTATATGAACATCTTCTCGACTCTCATACAGGAAGGTACTTCCAAAATGGAATGATAAAAAATCAAGCCTCAGAAACTTTAACTCCTCAACCATAGAAACAAAATTCTGATGCTCAGTGACTCCCATTAAATACCCAGATGGTCCATTTAAGAAAAATTTTCTTACCCAAAACTGAATGCAAATTGATAAAAGCCAAAGCACAATAATGAATCAACAACTATAGCATTGTAAGAAGTAGATACAGTTAGACTAACCTTCTTCAGAGACCAAGCCTTCCTCCACTGCTGTCTCTGCTGCAGATTCAGGCATATCTGACCAAGCAGGACGTGACTGCTGACTAGGAGGCTCTGGTGTGTGATCCCAATCTGAAGTACTCTGGGGAATCTTTCTATAAGATGGTTGAACTTGAACAGATGAAGCAAATTGCTCCTTCGGAACACGCAACTACAGCATTCATAACAACAAATAATGTTGGTCAACCACTCAGAACTATTTAAATTTCAACAAATTAAACACTATTAATCTGTGTGTGAAGCATTCAATAGAAACAGAGTTTGTTTGAGAAAATGCCTCTAAGACTTTACTTACATTTCATAACTCATGGCAAGTACCCATAATTTCTTTCTCTCATTCACATGCATGGTTCTGTCTACTTAATTTATTAATCCTTTATATTTGTATAGTCTATTCTTTATGTGCTGAACTTGTTTCAGTAATGTAAGGCCAGATCTTGTGTATGCCACATGCTTGGATAGAATTCACTGGACATTTCGGTTGAAATAAGGGTAAAGCAAACATGGACTAGTTTAGATAAAATGATAGCCGACTCAACATGAATAGGCAATGAGTGAGAAACCTTCAATAAATGACAGTCATAAAAACACATGCTCATATGCAAACAGAATGCTTGCATAAAAAGCAACAGGGAAGTACTTACAATAGAGGCGTAAGTTCTCTTTGGAGGGTCCCCAACGGGTTCCTCCAAAGGCATAGCTGGGGGTTCTTGCACAGTGTTCATCACACTGTGATGCAAAGCAAGAGTTTCCTCTGCAGGAGCTTCCTCCGCCACAACTTCAGCTTCAGCATCTTCTTCTTCTGGCTGCTCTGTGAGAATATATCTGTCAACTGGACCATCTTCTATATGAACAGAATTGACATACTCCCTCGCCTCTTCCTCCAAAACATAGTCAGAAACTGCTAAATCCAACAAGTTAAACCAAAAAAAGCAAAATTCCTACCATCAGAGATAGTAAATAACAAATACCAATGGAAATAAAGATTGTTTCCCACAGATAAAAAATGGTGATTTTTTAAGTAAAGACGTAAAATGTGGAAATTTACTAACCAAACAATAGAAAAGCAATCAGGTGTCTAAGGTTTCAGTGCCTCAAGCAGTAAAACTATGAGCAAGCAACTTAATGTCAAAAGAAGCCAAGAAGATCTAATTATCCTTCAAATTCTGTATAAGATATAAAAATTGTCATTGAATGTAAAGATATTTAATTGATTCTACCATCTCTGTTAGAACTTAGTAGACACCGTACTATCAACTATAGTACATGGCCAGGAAAAGGTCATTGTTTAAGTTGATGGACACAGTCCAACCAAGGCTCTAAAACTAGTCATCTACATTTTGCATGTGGAAAAAGAGTCCACAAAATGCTAAAGCTTAAAAATAAAAAATTCAGATTCAAGTTAGAAAAGAGCTATCCCACCGTACCTGGTGGCTCTGCAACAGGGCTTGACATATTTAGTTGAGCATCAATCTTGTTTTCTGGTAATGTGGAAGCTGAATGTTGGTAAATCATTCCATCATCAATAAACTGAAAGATATCATTGAGAACAAAGTAACCCTTCTCTTGAGGGGCAAGGAAAAAGGTTTGCACAAATTTCCTTCTGCCATTGAAATCCATGATTTTAACAGAACCGAAAACCATCACCAGAACACCTCCATTCCAAGAACCAAGAGAATTAATTGTCTTGATCTCAATTGAAGTAAAATTTAGTGACATGACCAAGGTATGAATTTGCTGCAGAGAAAGATCAAAAGAACCCAATAAATCACAACCTAACCAAGTATATTCCAGATAAAGGACTTATTTAAAAGCAGAACAATGTTCATAACACAAATTTGCAAGTGAAATTGCAACATCCCAATCATTTGCTAACAATTAACAAAAGGCTTTTGCTTGTAACATCTAAAAAGTAGATGGTCCAGAGAATCCATTTCTTAAAATGATAACTTGCCCTAGCTTAAAAAAAGGCCTTTTAGAGAACAAAATCCTATCTCTCACCAAGGTTATTCTAGCCCAAATCAATATATCATTCTCTAGAAAAATATTGCACAAAAATTATATGTTAGCCGTTATAAAGGCATGCACTTGAAGGCACATACATTATACAACCAAGAATATTAAAAGAAATAATCCCTGTACAAAATAATATGCCATTTATCATATAAAAGAAGAGAAAATATAGCATTAATCAAAATTTAGTAAATTGAAAAAGGATACTGCATTGGAGACACGTTCATGCTTAAGTAAATTCATTTGAAAATATATAAAGAAAGAAAATAAGAATATAAATACTACCAGCATTGAGGAAGCAGATTCGGAGGAATCTCCATCGACCCGAATCATGTTACTGGCATCTGAGTAAAACTGATGAAGTAGATCAGGTTGCTGTTGTAGCACCTGATAGTATTGTCCCACGAAGTATGAACCAACCTGAAATTTAAAAAATAACAAAAACACTGATAAAATAAGGAAAACCCATATAGAAAAAACAAAAATAAAGATGAAAACTCACCTGAACGGGTCCTGGATATGAAGCAGCCATTGTGATGAGCCAGATGACCTCAAAACAAAAGCATGCAACGAAGAAGATCTAATCTAAACCCCAACAAAAAAAAAAAAAAACTAAGTAGTTATAGCTCCTAAAACAATGATCGACCCACAGATCCAAATAGTTCGACTTTAGTATCCGAAACCCTAGTTTTTTTTAAAGGAAAAAAGACTACGGTTGAACTTTAAATGCCAGAGGGAATAGCCCTTGACGATTTTTTTTTTGTTTGGTTTTGGTGATAACAAAGACAAAGCTGAGTGAAGTTACGCTATAGTTGGAGATACTTGATTGATGAAGATGATAAAAAGAAAAGATAAAACGAGATTGTTGGGTTGAAGCTGAGTGAATAAAATCTCCGAGAAGAATCTAAAAGAAAGAAATAAGAAAAGAGAGAGAGAAGCTCAGATCTGTAGGCAGAGCGAGAGAGAGAGAGAGAGAGAGAGAAAGAGGTTTTGCTGCTGCGCCGTGTCTTTCATCTGATTCGTTAAATTTGTCGCTAGGGATTACCGCACAAAATAACAGCTGTCGTATTTGGTGGAACCTCTTTCCAAACCAACGGTTATAAACGTTACCGCGTGTCACCTAGGTTTAATCTGAACGGCTCTGATGTTTTTGTATCTTTTTATTTCTGAGTCGAATTTTCCAGTCAAAATTAAATCAAATTACAGTACTAAACTTAAATAAAATTACGACACTAAATTTAAATAACTGTCATACAAAATATTAATAATTTATATATTTATTTTTTATAAAAATTATATATTATAATTTATGTAAACAAAAAAAATATAATATGTATTTTTAATTTTTATCTAACTTACATATAAATTTTATTAAAATTTTAAATTGTATCAATTTCATAATTATAAAAATAATTCAAAAACACCCGACTAGCTTTGCCATGATATATAAATTTTATGATATTTAAAACAAAAAAAAAAAAAAAAACCCAGCTTGCCTTTCATATGTAGTTACTCCTACAGATAGTATATACAGAATAGCAACGGCAGGCTATGTTATGATGACAAATGGGAAAGGAAAAGGGTGTCATACAAACATGTTTCTGCTCCTTGCCCCAGGGTGCAAGCAAACTGAAATCTGTCAGCTATATCTGGTGTCGTATGTGATTTGTTCTTTGCCAATGTAAGCAATCGGATACCATCCGTAACAAGCCACAACAGATTGGATATTGGAATTGGAATTATAGAACTCTCGTTTACAGAACAACCATAAAGCAAAGGATGTAAAGGGGTGGATGGATCAGGATGATGGATGAGATCACAATCGTTGTGCAGTCACACGTATATATTCTGTATTTGCTTGTTGAGGCAGGCAGCTGTGATTGTGACTGTGCGACTCAGCTGCTGGTCACATAAAATAAACTATCATTTCCATTTTCTGGGGCATCCAATTTCATAAGAAGTTGCTCAAAGGCTTAAACCAATCAGCCTTCGGCTACGTCATTAGGTCTGTCCAATTCAGAACTCAACTACCGATCACATAAATTACTAACATTTGTGCAAGTTTCACAAAAATAATCTAAAACTGGAAGAGAAAAAGACACAATAATACCACCTAAAGCGCAATTTTACCATTGTCAACTAAAACAGATTACTATCCTAAACATCTAATCCCCACCCCCCAAAAACCCAAAAATGTCCACCTTGGCTAACTGCTAAGCCATCTCATGCTAGTAACAGCAAGAACAGGTTAGGTTAAGCATACAGATGGACAACAAGACAAAAATAGAGACATCAAAGAAAATGGATAACTGTGTTATTGCCATCTCAGTAGTAAGTCCCATAATAAGTCTGAGGAACTGCTGCAGTAGGTTGCTGAGCTGGGGTTAACGTTGTGGCGGCAGTTGGTTGGGCATAACTTTGTTGAGGAAAGGTCTACAGAAAATCACAGCAAACATTAGCTCCAAACTAGAAAAAATTCAAACTTGAATGTTTCTTTGGATGTTAAGTTAGAAGAAATGAAAGTAATTTATAAGAACATCATTCCAAAAATATTAAGCTTCAAATTTTAAGTGCATGATGCAGTGTAGATTGCTACCCTCAGCTATTAAGTAGATCAATGAGGGAAAACTGTCATGTTACAATTGTCCGTGGTATGTGGCAATTTAGTGCCATGAATCTTCCAAACTGTTTGTAATTATTAACAAAAGAAGCTTACATATTTAAATTTAAAATCCTTCAACTGTTTAGCGTTGAAAAAGGTGAGTTCCAGGTTTCAAAAGTGAGTAGTAGCAAGTGGGATGATATCCACGTTTCATTTAATGAAATTGGTCTTGGTACCTCAGAGTGATAGTTGTGCTACAAGTCTTTGAAATTGTAGTTTGACGAATCGAAAGCAATTAGATAGAAAACTTCATACCTGAACAGGATATGTAGCGGGATAAGCACCATAACTGGCACTTTGTGGAACTGATGTGGGTACTTGTGGAGTGGCATAATTGCTACCATAACTACCAAATGCACCATATGCAGCCTGCAAATATATAAAACTGTCAACCAGACATGACAATGACAGCAAGAAGCATAACATGAAACCATATACACTCAACGAGAAAATAATTGGCAGCCATAAACTGCATGCTAACATTTCAGCCAGTTTTCCCTACAGTAAATTGCAACATAATCTGAACATGCATGGCTATAAAATAACAATAACATAAAAAAAAAAAAAAAAAAAAAAGCCATACAAATGACAAACTAAGCCTTTTACTGCTACATAGTCTGCTATTTATGTAGGTTATATGGTGCTATTGTGCTTTATTTAAGACCACATCCTCAGTAAGCTAAGTTAAAAGCAAGGTAATTTGTTAACAGTTCCCATCCATTTCCTCTCCTCTTGACATGCATATCCATTAGATCACACTTTCTCACTAGAGCAAAACTAAGGCTTTCCATGGTAGGAAAGTTGGAAAAGGGTAAAGATGAAAAACTTGTTACTCCAATGGTTAAAATTTATAACCACTTTCTTACTTTATAACTTAACCATTAGATTAACAATTCCTCTTACCACATACAAACTAACATCAATTTGTTGCCATATTTATATATTTCTCTTATACATTTATTCATCATCTTTGTCTTTCCTTATATCCCCACACATCCAGCTTGGCATTCTCATCTCAGCAACAATCATCAAATGTTGACACTTAATTGTTTACCATCAAGTTCCAGTGAAATTTTATGCTCACACAAGATTCCCGATCCACTTTTCCATTCCCTCCACCCCACTGAAATCCTATGAGAAACATATCTCGCAAACAAGTCAATAATAAGCACAAGCTAAAGATCATCACAGCCATTTAAGGTGAATCTAGAATAACCAGAAAAAGGATCAATCTGAATTCATTTTTATATCTCGAAGGAAGAATTGAGAAAGAAACCAGGACCAAGAAAACATTTTCCAACTCTTAGAGAACAAAATGTCTACTCAAGAGAATATGTTAATAATGAACATTACAATATATTGATCAAATACATGATAGTTTTTTTAACATTTCATCAAATATAAAGCGCTTCCAACAGCAGAGAGAAATTTAAGGCACTGAATTATAAAAGTCTAGATTATCACCAAAACAAGCATATACTGACATACAATAAAAAGATATATCAAAAAAAGCAATCTACCTGTTGGCTGTAGCCAGGAGTCCATGGTTGTGCCTGTGTAGTAGACGGCCAAGTTTGAGGCTGTGCACTATAACCAGCTGGCCACTGGTTTTGTGCATTTGGATAGGCACCCATCAATGACTGGCCAGGTGAAGGGGCACCAGAGTAAGATTTTGCCAGCTTTGTCTTTTCTGAAGCCAAAAAATCTTCTGCATGACGTTTTCTTAATTCTGACATGGGCCTATGAGCTAAGAAGAGCTTAGCATGCCGATCTTCTGCCTTTTTAATAGACTGTACATCCCCAAAGAGATTCAAGAACTGCATAATTATTGTCTAAAGGTGAGCTACCAGTTAAAGTTTTCATACAATATTTAAGCATAGAGGCCAGCTTTTTCCAAGTAAAACACTAATTTAAACAATCAGACACTAATGCAGAATTTCAAACAGCATTCACAAACTTGAGAGAAACACGTTCAAACAAACTCAAGATGGTCATAAAAGAAAGGGAGGTCAACCTCATAGTTAAAAGCAATTTCCATTTTCCAGCCAAACCAACACCTCCACACATGACTCAATATTGAATCCATAACTAAATATCACATAAAGAAGCTTAAGGGAATGCATTTTAATTGCTAAGCAGTCGAAGCACATTTAGACAATTACGTTTGATTGCAATCAATAAGGCAGGGTCATTTGCAAGCAATTTTTTTAAACTAAAATTATTACCTCCAAAAATATGCTAGATAGATCTTCCCTGTCTGCTGCACTGCCATCTGAGTTCGGGCCTATAAACTTGTCAACCAATGATTCTAAATAATCAATCTGCCTTGGTGGTGGCAAAATTGTTTCAAAATGTATTAATGCCTACATGTAAAACAAAAGCAAAATCAGAAATAAGATACCAGAGAAGAATGTTAAGAAAAGATGTAACAAAGGGGTGCTTGTGTGTGTGTGTGTGTGTGTGTGTGTGTGTGAGAGAGAGAGAGAGAGAGAGAGAGAGAGAGAGAACCTCAAGGAATGGTTTAGACAGTTGGACTTGTTCAAGTGCTCCAGTTAGAATTTCCCTAGCCTTCTCTGAATTTCCAGAAACCTACAAACAAATTCAAAGGGAACAAGAATTTAAGACATAAGTCCAGCTTCTGACATGAATCTATGATGAAGTAAGAATGATAATTGGAAATTGATTTTTACACAAGCCATGGAAAATACACTCAGAGAAAACACAAAAGCCCATATGGCAATGGTAACAAAGAAATGCCGGGATATAACATACCGCATATTTAAGTTGACATTAATAGTATTTGAAACTATTAAATTAATAACCAAATATTTAGAACATCAGCAGTCGTATAATATTAACAGTAAAATTCATATTTAGACACAGGCAGAGCCAAAAGTATGATATAAAATGTCATTCTTTAAAAAAGATCAATAATATTGACATTGACTCCTGAATCAAAGGAAAATCCCTTTTTCATTTCACATGAATCATATCATAACAGAGACAAAAGAAATTAGGCATCACAAGCACGGCCACCTACCAAGTATGAAAATCTAGAGTACTGTGCATACAGCATGGGTAATGTTTGAGAATGCTCTTTGCCTTTTTCAATGGCAATGGCTTGCTCGTATAAAAAGAAGGCATCTTCGAGTTTCCCCTGCAGAATTAAGATAAACAACCCATTTCAAACAGGTAACCAGTTTTACCACAATTAAAGCCATATAGGCATGCTAGCATAATCTTACCAGACGGGATTCCATATTTGCATGCTTAATAATTGCTTCAAGTAGACCGGGAGAAATTTCACTGTGAACAAGTTGATACGCAGCTCGAGCACCTGGTATGTCCCCATTCTGCTCCTTGAATCGAGCAGCAAAAAGATGGATCTCTGGTTGCCTCTGTCAAATATTGGTAACAAAAAATGCTAGTAAAATAAACACAACGGAAATTTTTGCAACTAGCACAATGTCACCATTTAAGTCTCCACAAGGACACCAACCAATTATACTTCGTTTGCAAATCAATGCTAAAAGTTCAAACAATTATAATTAAGAGTAAATATCAGACTGGCTGTGCATAATAGTAAAAACTAAATCACAGGCCCAAATTGTTTCCCTAAGCCATAAAAAAGAAAATAAATAATACAGGAAAAACAAAATGTTCACTTTTCAATTGACTTAGTCAGGGCACAGATTTAATAAAATGTACAAAAATAAACCAAAAAAGCTTTGAAAGATTTGCTTCCAAGCATTTTTTTTTCAAAATTTTTAATTTAAAGTATTTAAATGACAGAAGTCAAAAGTGAAAGGTTTAAATTAAGTATGGAAATCAAAACTCAAATGGCTCTTAGGGGGAGGGAGATAAAATCCATCCCAGTAGTTTTTCTCAAGCAAGCCATATTGTCACTTAATACCTTGACAAAGACTTGTGTAGCACGTGCAAGTGCATTATCAGCAAGATCCATGCTTCCACTGGCTTCCATACATAAAACATATCGTATCCAGTACTCAGGATAATTGGCACAGGCTATTAGGCACCTTTCATATAATTTGACCACCTAATTGACAAATGAAAATATAAAAGATTAGAAAGATATTCTGGTGCACCAAAACATTAAACAGGGGGATGATACAAAGTACAAGGAGAAATGCATAAGAAATACTCCATCGTGGGAACAGAGAGGCCCCTCAAATATGATGGGACCCTCCTTGACTGACAGATAAATGGTTAGGAAGAGAAGAACACACCTGCAGGCATAACGTTGGAACTTTAAAAAATATAAAATGAATACACTAATCAATACATTACAAACCTAAAATGTCCACTGACAAATGAGGGTTTGAAGTACTTAGCCTCAAAGAAACCAAATCGAAGGTCCATGCTTTAGTCTCAGTACATTTCCCGTTTAAAAAGGTTGCTTCACCCAACGATTTAGCCAATAAAGCAAATGATGCAGCAGATGTTACTTAACTGTACGTCAATATATAACCAACAGGACAACTGAACACTAAGAACTATAGCTAAATTGCAAGATGGACAAAATAAACTCAAATACCTTATTGAAGTCACCCTCCCTTTCTATAAAGTCCAGGTAGTTATGCCAATTTTCAAGCTCAGCAACATTGAGGGGCCGCACATGAAAGTAAGGCCTTCTAATAGCTGTTTCAAAACCTAGGATCTTAGAATCAAACTCTTTAGCTTTCTTATATAGCTCTTCTCTAACAGCAACATACTTCTCCAACTCTTCTGCTTCTGTTGAGCCAGCACTTACAGGCTTTGGAGTTTGTTCTACAGCATCAGGATGTACCTCCCTTTCATTTACTTGCCCATCAGCCTCTGAAACTACAGCTGATCCATTGACAACAGCTTCCTCAGCAGTCCTTAATTCTGACAAAGGTCGACTTCCAGCCAACTCTTTAAAACTGTAATACATTGGCATCAGGAAATAAGCAAACTAACTCAATGCATTATGATCCACAGAACCACCATATTCAGACTGTGATGTGAAAATGCATAGCATTTTGAACTATCCAAGGAGCTCTCTTCCATGCTATAAACTTCATCCTCCCTCCCAACCCAAGATTCGAACTAGAGCCCTAGTTAAAAGTGCCAAGTTCCAGCCTTTTGCAGTGTCTCCTTGAGGACTACATATGCATTCTTTTGAATGACAACAATTCACATTTAAACATAAAAACATCACACTTTAGATGGCATGATGCAACCTTAAAAATTCTAAGCAGTTGATGGTAAGATTAAACGACCAGTAAATGTTTATGCGGGTTATGATCAAATGACCAAATTAAATCAAGTTTGAGACCAAAGATATCCTCAAACATGCTTTCATTTGATTTTGGTAACGAAACCAACCAACCCATTAAGGTCATTAAGTTGCAGATGCAACCAGCCAAATGGCAGAAGATTTGATGCAATATGGTCTATCATAGAAGCATTCCTATCTAACTTCCATTTTCCAATTTCCATATATGGACAAAATTAAAAAAATGACAAAACAGCTTGAGAAAACGAAACCATTACTACTTCAAATTTAATTAGTAAACAGAGGATATTTCTCCTCAGACTCCATTTGATATCTACTTTTGCTACTTCTGGAAGCAAAAAGAATTTATCTTCAGACGTGAAAGTGAAAATGCTTTAATGGATTAAAAATTACAAATTTTACATCATTGACAAAAAGTAAAAAAATTAAAAAATGATCATACTTCTATATGCAACCAATAAGCATGAATTGATAATTTTTCTTGACTGTTTCCTTATTTTTCCTTTCTTGCAAAGTTCAAGAAGCAAAAACTAAAAGGCGAAGAGCAATGAGAAAGAGTAACAACCAAATGGAACCATGATAGGAAGGTTAATGCTTAAGTTTGGCATACATGTGGTAATATGGTAATCTTGTATACACATTCCAAAAATATAAACAATTAGATATAAAGAGACACAAAAAGACCTTACCTGTTGAAATACCTCTCTAGCTGTTGACTAGGGTTCTCCAATATTCTAGTATAAATAACAGCAAGGCGACTCCACTCCTGGTGCATGTATTCATATTCAATGTATTTATCCCAAAGAGGGAAAGATAGATAATCAGTTCCAACATATGCTAATCCTCGTTCAAAAAGCCTGAAACAACATACAATGTAATTGTTATTACAAATAAAAGAAAAACCATCCAGGCAATGCAGACAATTTCATAAACAGAAGACAGTTGGACCAATGTTGAAGCAGAAGGAACAATTCACTCTAGACACGGCCAAATGCTGCATTTACCTTCCTGATAAATATCAAACTATGTCTGAAATGAAGCATTGATAGAGGCCATCTAGACCTTAACTGGACGAGATCTTCCCAGCAGCATTTTGCATATTGATGCACCCCATAGTGTCAAGGTTATAGTAATAACTCATACATAACTACAAGAATATGACGCAGACTTCAAGAGGAAGAGGAAGTAGGAAGCGTAAAGAGCTCAGGAATATAGTCAATATCCTAAAATAGTTTCAACTGCTACTCGTACAGTAGCCTCAACATCCAGGGAATAAACATGGAAAAAAAAAAAAGCATTTCTAAAGTGCATTCCCATCGCACCTTTCCGCCATAAATGCAAGGAATTGCTGTTGCAGGCATACCGAAATAATGTTAGAAAGTAACAAAAATCGCCAGATCCTCATGATTAAGAATAGCACACAATCATGATCTCCTAATGCAGACCAGGAAAAATAATGGGTATTTTAACACATATTACCTTCGGATGGTTTCTGGATCTCCATATGTTTCTATGGCAAATGCACAATATAGCACCCAGATGTCCACAGAATACGTCACTCCCTGAACTGCTCTTTCATAAACCTCCACAACTTTATCCATTGAGCCTATGCGCGCTTCATGATCCGCATACTTTTTCCAATAACCATAACACAAAGGGAACTCAGCCAAGAAAGCATCATAAACCTTTCGGATTTTCAGTATATTGTTCTGCATTCAAGGTGTAGATGAAAACATCAATTTGCAGAAGAGATAACAAGTTTTGATAAAAAATAAATAAATAAAGAGGATGAGAAGTTCAAAACTACGAATTCAAATAAACACAGAAACCACCAACTTTGGGAAGATTATTAGAAGCAAAAAGGAACAAGGATAGAATATACAAAATAATTGAAAGATAGGTAGCACTCTTGGCTCCATGCCACTAAAGAAAGTTTTTAACATATTACATACGGCTTTCATCACTTTTTTCAAATTTATTAAGGTTACCATCCAGTCTCTCCCCAAAGTCATTCATTTTAAGTATGAGTACTCCTCCGCCAAATTGTGGTATTCAATCTTATAACATGGTCTCCACCCATCCATGCCAAATAAATAAGGAAAGGAAAAGATTAGATATTAGATAGGAAAAAGACAACTAGCTAACAAAATTCCCAACAGGTAAAAGCCCACAGAGTCTGTTTACTTATCCCCTTCCAACACATGTTCATGCTCACACACCTCTGCAACTTTCTCTGTCTCTTCAATCAATGTAGTCCAAACATTAAAATCCAAAGAATTAGCTCTCACAATACTCCACAAACGATCCTCTTCACCAGACATAGGTGGCACTGTAAGTCAAAAATAAAAACAAAAAATACAAATGAGTTTAACTTTTTCTAGATTTAATTACTAATAATAACGATAACGTTGAATAAGGAAAATGATGGTTATAGTCAAAACTAAGGTGTAGAGGTCCAAAGAACTACCAACCATATCATGTTGATCACAAAAAAAGCTTCATGGCAGATTACCAGTGGATAAAGGCTGTTTTGGTGCTCAACTATCAGAGTTTTTAGCTATTATGGCAAATCTTTGGGGTGGTTAGCTGCTGGTGTAAAATAGCAAAAAAATGAAAATGCTATATAACATCATTTGATAAGCCCACTTTTTTTTTCACTTTTTTTTTCTAGATAATATGAACACAGCCTAAAGAATATAAGAGAGTTTTATTTAGTTTAGAATAATGCAGGCAGCTAAAGTTTATTCCGTAACAAAAGTACTTCTTCTAAATTCTCATTATTAAGCAGGTTTGCAAATCATATTACATAATGTAACCTTCAACACAAAATGAAATCAAGAATAAGTTCCCTGTTCATGACAGATGCATGTTACCAAAACGCCAGAGAAAAACATACCGGAACCATCCACAAACTCTGCTAAAGCAGAAGCTCGACCCACATTATCAAAAACATTTCCATTCTCAACTGTTGTGGCATTCCCTGCTTCATTGACAACATTGCCATTTAGAGAAGAATTATAACCAGCAACTTTAGATGCATTTGCTGCTGTGTTTCCAGCTGCGGTAGCATTCTCATTGGTTGGTCCACCAGCTGGCTTACTGTCATACATTGCACTGATTTGACCCTCTTGACCAGCAGAATTAGGGTCAACACCAGCTGCAGCATATGTTCCGTTTGCTGGTGCACTAGAAACAATAGGATCTCCACTAGCTTCAGAGGGGTAAGCACCAGAACCAGTAGAATTGTAAGCTGCTGATGTATAATCCATCATTGCTGATGAGTCAGCAACTACTGCTTCACTATCTCCCATTCCAGCACGGAAACTCTAACGTACAGTATACAAACTAAAACTAACAACCAAGCAAATAATTTACTGTCATTCTTTTATTTTATATGAAAAATATATCCAACCAAAAATGCAATAAAAATATTTCTCCATTAAAATTATAGTAGAAAAGCACAAAACTAACACCACTTCAAAATGAAATAACAAAATTACTTAAAGGCCCCTCTTCCACTCCCAAAATTCCTAATTTTTAACTGTTCCTTCGGAAAATTCTAGAGAACAACACAGAAATACCAAAAAAAAAAAAGGCGAAAATATTGTAAAAATTGGTAACGAAATAACCAATATTCCCCATTAAATTAAATTAAATTAATTCATAACAGTATTTTGGAGGGAAAAAAGTAACTTGTTCGATCGACAAGAAAGTCTAGTAAAAAATAAAGGCAGTTTATATGAATAAAGTAAAGCAATTAAATCTAAAAACTCCAAAACTTCGATACAAAACCCTAATACAAACTAAAACGTTTTGGCAAAACCAAAACCCTAAATTGGAGAAAGTGATAGAAACGGCTGGAGACATACCGGTAGAAGGAGAAGACGGTGTCGTTTTGTAAAGCGTACTTGATTCAACAATTTGGACTGATTTATGTTGGAAATTTTGAGAAGATTTTAGAAAGGAGCGAAACGGAGAGAAGGGGAAACGAGAGGGCTGGGTAGGGCGTCTGAAATCTTATGCGGGTCGCGGTTTTTATTATTTAAGTTACGTGGAAGCGGAGGCTAATCTAGGCCGTTCATATGTTTTTATGATGGTTTTAACATGGGCAGTTGGATTATTTTGGACGGGCATTCGGCCTCTAGGTTCATATGTCTAATGGCTACAGCAAGTACGGTGAATTTAGGAAGGTAGACTACTGAGCCTTTCTCTTCCTCGAGGCCCAACAAATTATGAATTTGTTAATCATAATTATTATTTGATATATATATATATATATATTTGAGATATGGACAAAATGATTTGATGTTAGAATTTTGAACTCTTAATTTAAATTTAGATATGATAATGGAATCAATTTTTATTGCTTTTGAGGTATCATATTGGAATTCATTTAATATTCATAATATTTGAATTTATTAAAATTTTTTTTTATTTAAATTTTTTTATCAAAATATAAAATAAATAATAATTTTAATTTAAAAGTTAAGCTTACTCTTAATTAATAATTAATAAAATTTATTTGATAAGATTGAAAAACTTTCACAAATATAAAATTTTATATATTTACGTATGTAAATAAATAATAAATTTAAATACAAATTCAGATAAATTACTATTCATTAAAAGTTAAACCAATTTAAATATTAAATATCCTAATGATTTATTTGTATTATATTCGAATTTATCATAAAAAATAAAATTTTTATTCGAATTCATTAATTATTCATTTATAATTATTTAAATTCAATATAATCAAATCAAATAATAATAAATATCTATTTATTTACTACCCATTATCGTTCCAACTTAATTTTATACTTACAAATTATAACACATAATAAGATATTTGATTATGTTGATAAGTCATAACACATAATATGAAAATGTTTAACAAGGGGAATTTTTTTTTTTTTATAAAAGGAATTAGAGCTCATAAAACTCATTTGTAATTGAGATTGGAGTTGGGTTTGACCATAATAACAAATTTAATAATAAATATAATATCGATTTATAATTAAATGTAATGACATAAAAAAAGAGTTGTTGTAAAACGATAAAATTGTGCTTCTATAAAATCGTGTAAATAAATTTTTTATATTTAAAATTATTAAATTTTGAATAATAATTATTGAATTTAAAAATCAATATTTTTACCGACAAGTTATATATTGAAAGAATCTTTGATCAATTGTCAAATTGGACCTTAAAGTTTAAACAAAAGACAAATCCAATATTTTCTGCTGTTTTAAACGTCAGTCTCGTACGGAAATTATATAAGTTTAAATGTGATTATATTTAATTTAGTTTTTTTAATAATATATAATATTATAAAATTTTAAATTTTAATTTAAATTCGAATCAATTTTTTTATAAATCAATCAAAATTCAAATTTTTGATTTAATTAAATTCATTAATTTTTATTTTTATATAAATTTTAATATATTTAAATATATTTATATATAATAATTATTTTATTTTTAAAAAAATAAAATATATATAATTTAATTTAATTTAATTTCTTTACATTAAATTTAAAATTCAATCTAAAATTAATATATTATATATTCAATTTTAATCCAACAAACTAAATATTATAACTTCTTATCAGTTTTCTCAAAAATTTTTCTCTGATTTCATGTAGAAGAGCTCGCTGTCAATCTAACCATAGCAACCGACTAACCATAAAAGTAAAGCGGTGCAAAAATGACTTGGCAGCCAGAAAAGCTACGGAGAAAAAATGAATGTGGCAAACCGAAGGCAGGAAGAAAACAAGTGTCAGTCTACGTAGACTGGGCCCGTGGAGCATTTCTTGAAAAAAAAATCGAAAAATCGATTTAAAATCTAAATACTTAACTCAGATTAGATTGATTTTTTATTTAATTCAAATTAAATATAAATATTAAATTTAGAATAAATTTTAAATTAAAAAATAAAAAATTTTAAAAAAATAAAATCAAATTGAATTATATATTTTTTAATTTTTATATATTTTTTAAATTTTTATAAAATAAAAACAATATTTTATATCAAAATTTATTTAAATATATGAAAATTTCATATTAAAATAATATATAAAAATTAAAAACTAATAAACTAAATTAAATTGATAAAATTCCATTTGATTATATTCAAATCATATCAAAATAAATTTTAAATTTTTATAATATTATATAACATTTAAATAAGTTAAATTTAATTCAATTCGAATTATCACCCATTTATCTCCGACAAAATAGGCTAGGTGTCAGGAAATTAAAATCTCTAAACTTCTTTTAATACAGGTTTAAGGCTTTTGGTATCATTACTCTCTACTCTCTCTTCAATTCAAGCGGTGACCGCCTGCAAATCACAAGAAATGGTGAGTCTGGCTTGAAAATTTTCAATTCAATAAACCATTGGTATAGATTAGACTTGCAATTCTTATATTTGGATTGTAAAATTAAAATATTGATGATTTATACATTACAATTCATGTATTATAATTTTTTTATTGTAATTCGATTATTAGTGTTTCAAATTTTATTAATTATTGATAATTTATATATTATCGTAATATATAAATTCATAAATTTATAACTAGATTTAACAAGATAAGTCGTCATTAATTTTTTATTTATATATAATTAGTTACTTAATAAATTTATTTTTTTTAACGAGCCTCTCAATTTAACTAAGGGTCCTTAAAAAATAAGTTTTGACATTTTAAATAGAACTAAGTTCAGGAGTTTAATTACATGTAAAGAAAGTTATAACACCCCATAACACATATTCTAATATAATATCATTTTATTTTAAATTATCTTAACAATTAACTTCGTTTTAATGGTATTTTATTTTAATATTTAAATATTAAAAATGATTTTTAAGATTTTTCATTAATCTATAAAATTTTTAAAAATATTTTCTCACCGGCAGAGTATTTAAAAATCATATTTGTTTTCTTGAAAAAGTTTCGTGGTCAAAAAAAGATTTAATCATTTTTTATTTTTGTTTTATTGAAAATATATCTAATTCATCCACCATTAGGCTAAAATAAGAAATATTTTCTCACCTATAAATATATTAGATAATCATCTATTTGTGATTATTAAAAATTTCATCATTAAATTTTATTTTTCAATTTTATTTTATTTCTAAATTTTTCACAATTTGAGTCAATTTAGAATTTAAACTTATTAATTTCCTAATCCATAGAAAGAAAATAATATGACAATTATTTTTTGAAGTCTCATTTAAATTTTTTCATCATTTGGGATGAATTTAAAAAAATTTATTACCTAAAGATTTATTAGAAAATTTACTATTTGAAATTTATAAGATTTCATCATTAGATAATTGTCAAATATTTTTTTCACATTTTTAAGTTATATTTTTTATAATTTTATTATTATTAACTATTATTTGGACAATAATACAATTACTTTTATTAAAATTTTATCTAAATTATTCCACAATTTAGGTAAAATTAATTTAGAAAAATTCATCACCTAGAGATTTCTTAGAAAATTTATCATTTAAATTTGCTAAAAATCTCATCATTGGGTAATTAGTATTTTAATTTCAAAATTTTATTAATTTTATTTTTAAAAATTAAAGATAAAATATTAATTATTATTATTAAAACTTTATCTAAATTATCCTCTATTTGGGATAAATTTAAAAAAATTTCTTAACTAAGAGTTTTATAAAAATTAACCTTTTACGATTTTTAAAAATTTCATTATTGAATAATTATTATTTATTCTCAACAAAAATTTATTAATGTTTTATTTTGTACTTTTTTTTAATTATCTTCTCTATTTTTTCTAAAATTTAATCATGCAAAAAAATTTTTAAAAATAAACAAAATAAAATAAATAAATAAATATCAAAATAAGACACTGACTCGGTTTAGCTCAACTCAGGCGTGTGGCTTGGCTACAAGAAGGGAAAGCTGTTGGAATGACTCATGAAGGTGGCTCGGCTTGACTAAAAGGACAACGACTAAAACACTGAAATTTAGATTGTGTCGTCGGAATCTTCAAGTTTTGTCAAAAACTTCATCGAAAATTGAAAAACTCACAAAAACTTCAAATTTCATAGGAATCTTCACTAAAAATTGAAAATTTTCATCAAAATCTAAAAAATTTTCTAGATTTTCTATATATTCTTCTAGAAAAAACAAATATTCAAAAATCACAAATCTTTCAAAACCCCTGCCAGAGACTCTTCTAAAATTTTAGACTTGATTACTTTTTTTTTTTTTTTCTGCATGTATCTATTTTGCTTGTTGATTTTTCTGTGTGGGTTTCGACTTTGATTTATTGTATTTATAGGGATTTAATCATAAAAACCCTAAACTAAAAAAAATTTCAGTTACTCTTCAATTCTAACTTCAAACGTTACAATCCAAACAAATAACTTCATACAAACTCAAACACGTAATTTTTTGTCATTTTTATTATAATTTTATTAGTTATTTATTTAACAAATCAAACAGTTACAACTTCAAATAAATTGAGATATCTATAATTACAATTCATGTATTAGTGCTTTTTATCATAATTCGTTTATTATTGTTTCGGATTTTATAAAATATTGATAATTTATATATTAACGTGATGTTTTATATAAATTATGTATTATAATTTATGTTAATAAAATTTTTTGAAATATTTTTTATTTTATTAAATTTATATAATTTTTTAAAGTTTTGATCTCGTGTTTTTATAGTATGTTTTCATGTTATCACTATATCATAAAGATAACAATAGGAATGATAAAAGATTTTTTTTTTATCAAGGGAAAAGGAACAGGAAGCTTTGGGAAGAGGACAAACAAAACTCGTACACTCTACCGCCGCTGTGGTCGCCGTAGCTACCAACTCCAGAAGAGCCGCTGATCTGCCTGTGGCTACCTCACCGCTCGCATGCGCAAATTTAACCTCAATCCCACCATTTTCCTTTGCAGCCTTTTTATAAATTGCCATTGTTGCAATGCTTACTGGAATGAGAAGGCTATAAGGAGGAAGACAACTGGAACAGGAAGGATGAGGTACCATCGCCATGTACCAAGAAGGTTCAAAAACAACTTCAGAGAGGGTATCCATCTTGCTTTCTTGCTTTCTATATTCAGTAAAAACATTCACCATTGGAGAGCTCCTTCTCTT